TGATGTTGATTTGTTCTTTTTTTCCTAGGGTGTTGAGATGTAGTATTAGGTTATTTATTTGTCAATTTTCTGTTCTTTTAGTGAATGAGCTCAATGCAATGAACTTTCCTCTTAGAACTGCCTTTATGTCCCGGAGGTTTTGATCTGTTGTATTGCTATTCTCATTTACCTCCAAGTATATTTTTTATTTCATCCATTACTTCTTTTGCTATCCATTGGTCATTCAATATTCAGTCTCCAGGTGTTAGAATAGCTTCTATTTTTTATTTTATCATTGATTTCTAATTTCCATCTATTATGATATGATAAAATGCAGGGTATCATCTCTGTTTTCTTGTATTTGCTTTGTGGCCTGAGAGATGGTCTGTTTTAGAGAAGGATCCATTTGCTGCTGAGAAGAAAGTATATTCAACCATTGATGGATGAAATACTTAACTCTCTCTATATAAAGTCTAAATTATTGATTGTATTATTTAGTTCTATAGTTTTGTTATTTAGTTTTTGTTTGGAGGATCTATCCAGTGATGAGAGAGGTGTGTTAACATCACCCAGTATTATTGTGATGTGGTTTGTTTGATTCTTGAAATTGAAAAGGATTTGTTTGATGTATGTAGATGTTCCATTGCTTGGGGCATACATATTTACGATTGTTATATCTTGTTGATGTATAATTTCCTTAAGTAATATGAAATTTACTAGATGACCTAACCCTCTTTGGATTTTTGTTTTATTTTTTCTTTTTTAGCATGCATCATAATTTTTTGTTGAAAGGGAGAGAAAATGTACTATGTAAAAGGAACTGTAGTAAACAGACCTTTAGTGATATGGTGGTAAAGTATGGGAGAAGGGAAAGTGTCTACATCCTGTCATGAGGCTTAATCTTTTGCTGAGTGTGTGCACCTGGTTTGTGAATTTCACCAGGGCTTTGCAGTTTATTTTTCTCTTAGGTGGGACAGAATGGCCAGAAGAAGCTGAAACTGAGTTTTTCCCTTCTCTTCAGGTGGTTAGGTATTGGAAAACAAAACAACAATAAAAAACAATTCAGTAGTTTAAACTTTGGTAAAATAATTTCTCTTGAGAGAAGACCTTGTTGAAAAGAATAGAATGGTCTGGCATATTTCAGAACGGTAACTTTTCTTTCCCTTGGTGGATTTTTTTCCCTGGTTAGTTTTTATTTATTTATTTTTTTCCTTTTCTCTGAAACTCACTGTGAGAACCTGGTAGAACTCCTGGAGGTAAAAGGTGGGGCCTTCTTGTGCCTGGGTCTCTCTGGAGGACTTACCTTTCAGGCTTGTCCACACTGAGTCTGCAGCAATTAGTTAATGTGTATATATATATATATATATATATATATATACACACACACACACACACACACACACACATACATACACACATACATACACACACACATATTTTTAAAAATTATATATAAATATATATTTATACATATAAAATTATATATAAATATATAAATATAAATTGTATATTACATATAAATAAATATATGGGGATATATATCCTTATATATTTATTTATATAATCTATAATCTATAATCAAAAAGCTAAATAATATATATGTAAAAGCCCTAAGTATATCATCAGAGGAATGAATCATAGAGAGAAAATCTTAATAGATACCACTATAAGATAAAACTTGAATAAAGTACAGTGACTCTTCCAAAGTGATAATGCCCTAAAAGGCAAATGGAAAATTGAGGTGAAGTCTTTGAATATTGATAAAGTCAATGGTCTCATAAATGAAAGAATTCTTACAGACTTTATAAATAAGGATTAGATGAGTAATCTCATAGGAAAATTAGCACTCAGCATTGATGAGCAATTGACTATGGATAATAAAAGAAGATGAAAAACATAATCTAGAAGGAAGCTAACTTCTTGATCAAAAATGCCATTTATTATTTTGATTTCATCTATATATTTGATAGTGATTTCTTAGAATGAAAAGGTTACTGTGGAAAACAAAACACTTCTGAGTTATTCTTTTTAAAAAAAAATGTTTATTTTTTTTTAGTTTTAGATGGACACACAATATCTTTATTTTATTTTATTTTATTTTTTTATGTGGTGCCAAGGATCAAACCCAGTACCTCATGCATGGAGGATGAGCACTCCACCACTGAGCCATAACCCCAACCCCTGACTTATTCTTTATAGTACAGTGACCTTTCCAATGGGTATTTGCAAGTACATAACAACAGCTCTGAGGTTCCAATCCATTATTATCTTTTTAATGTATTTCAATTACATTATTATCTTTCTAATATGTTTCAATTAACTGTCAAGAATTATAGTCAGAATAAATTTTAACTGCAGAATTTGTCATAGGGGACTAATTAGGAGATGGGTGTAAAACCTTTCTGAACAGACATCTGTCCAGTTGTTATAATAGCAAAAAAATAAAATCTGATCAGGTAGTAGTCACCAGCATGAACATGAAGATGCTCATTTGCTCCATTTTATCCAGGCATATCTTTTTTCTGATTGCTTTGTTTACAAAAAATGGAAACCAACTGCTTTTTTGATCATTTTACCTCCCAGAAAAATACAGTCTGTAATGGTGATAAAATAAAAACACAATTTCCAGCTAGATGCCAGAGACTTGGGAAGCTGAGGCAGAGGATCACGAGTTCAAAGCCAACCTCAGCAAAGGTGAGGTGCTTAGCAACTCAGTGAGACCCTGTCTTTAAATAAAATACAAAAATAAGGCTGGATGTGGCTCAGCAGTTGAGAGTCCCTGAGTTCAATCCCTAGTACCAAAAAACCCCCGTAATTTCCAACAAGAGAAACATATTCATATAATAAAATATGTCACCATTACAAACTGTGTTTTTCTAGGGGTAAAAAGCAGTTTGGTTCCATTTTTTTTTTTTTTTTGGGTAAACCAAACAATCAGAAAAAAGATATGCCTGGATAGAATGGAACAAAATGAGCATCTTCATGTCCATGTTGGCAATTGATTGCTGCCTGCTCAGATTGCCCATTAACTTGGGTCTTTGTTTTCCTATTAGAAATTCTGAGTGTAGATTAGTTGCAAAATCAGAAAATAATGATTTTTAACAATACTTTAAACTCTAGTCATTATTGATGAAAGGGGTTTTGTTCTTTATTAAAAAAAAATTAGCAGATTTGTAGTTTCCATTCTTGTTTCTTATTTGTAGTGTGGCCTGTTTGGAATCCGCATTGTGACTTTAAAAACATAGTAACGTACTGATTTTATTTTTTTAAGATTGTCCTGGGAGAGGCCCAGATGATGAGGAATTGAAAGTGTATTTGATGCAGCACCAGGTCTTTGGGGGGTTCTCTTCCTTTTCTCTGTCTGCTGAGCCATTTTTATCGCTGTTTTTCTGGCTCAAAATATCTCCCTCCCAATGGGAAGACTGGTGATGTATGTCTCCTGAATGGGGCTCTGCAGGGATGTTAGACGAAGTGGATTCCAGATGAGATCCTCTCTCTGGAACCTTGGAGAGACTTGGCAGTCTGCAGAGACCTTCAAATAAGGGTCCTCTGGGGGAAGAGGTTTGACGTGGTCTTGCGCTTATTGTATTTTGGAAATTTGCCAACTCTGAGCCTTAATTTCCTCATTTAGAGAATAGTTTTGAAGTTCCTACTAGGCTAAGCATTTTTAGACAGTGGTCAATAGATAAGATTCTTGAATACGTGGACAACCTACTGACCTAAAATTAGAAAATTAATTCTTACCTAAGAGGGTTAGGTGAAAATTTGTGCTTCACACCTAGAAAGTTCTCCATGAGTGTCTGTTCATTTTTTTCTCTTTGTTCATTCTGTGCAAGTCAGTCATGCATAGCTTAGTCTCATCAGTGCTTAGAGGTCCCCAGAGAACAGATTTCCTCTTTCAGTTCTGTGTCTTGGTTCCCTTGACTTGTATACAAGAACTATTGAGTGATGTTCCCAGGAGTTGCTTGCCTGTCCTGGATTCTAGAAATGAAACAGGTTGCTCCTACACATCCCGGTGTTTTTGCCGAGAATCAGCTTAATTGGAGAAGCTAAGGGTTGTGGTTTGGTACAGATCGCTTGAGGTTTCATGGCACAGGGTCTGTCCAAAAGCATGTTGTCACTGCTTTCATTTATTCAGCATCCAGGTGGTTTTCTTGGGCTACCATTGCGTTTGGCTCAACCTGAACATGTAAGCTCTTGTCAGTTACCCACCTTGTCTAAGTATTGCCAACCTAAGGTTGCCAAACAGGTAAGCACCTAAGAGGTCATATGAGTTGCACAAACAAGTTCAGAGGAGGGTCACGCTCAGAAATACTGTGAGTGACAGAATTTCATCCTGCTCAAAAGAAACATTGATGACGCAATGTTATGCCTGTTTTTCTGGAACCGAGAATGGTTCTCCTCAAAGGATGAAACATTCCATGTTCCAACACTGCATTAGGCCATTGCCATCCAAGCCCATGCAGACCTGAGTAATGAAGGGATGCTGATGCTGTGAGATCCGTGTGCAATGTGAGATGAGTCCAGGTTTTGCCAGGTATTGAGTCAGCAATGCTTTCCCTGTGCACCTGTCTTCTCTAAGCTTTCTCTAAATTGCTGCATCTCCTTCCATCTCTTTCCTTATCGTGATGATCACGTAATCAGAATTGAGAGTGAAAGAAAGCTGGGGCAGGAGAAGGAAGCTTGCTTCAGGATGGTGGCACAAGCTGCAGAGGTGTACGGATGTCATTTGCACTTCATGCTCCCACACCAGCTTTGACTTTAACTGCAGACATAGCCCATGTGTTAAAAACCCTGAGGGACCTATTGGCATAGGTGTACTTTTCAAACTCACTCATTTTGTAGAGCCGTTGTGGGAAAACATGGAATTCCCTATGAAAAAAAGTTTGTAACATATCAAATATTATTTTAAAATGAGATGAAACTGTTTAAGGCCCCTTTCCCCTGTGGTATATAGACTCAGACATTAGCTATCTTATTATTTTATGTTTTACCTTGGTTGTATCTTTTACCTTGCGCAGGACCAACTCTCCGCTGACATGTACAGTTTTGTGGCCAAAGAAATCGACTATGCAAACTACTTTCAAACGGTAAGGGTCCAGAAAGGTGAGATTGCATGAAAGTGTTAGCAAGATTCATGGTGTGGATAGAAAGGGAATGTGGGCATGGAACTCGGGGCCTCTCACTTAGTTAGCACATCATAGAAAAGGGTGAAACTGTTCTGTCATGAATAGATTCTGCCTTCCTTACTCCTTATAGGGGTTTCTTCAAAAACATAAGAATAAAACCCAGCCCTCTCCCTGGATTTATTGCAGTTCAGTCATCAATTACACTGAATGATAACTGAAAGCAATTTTGCTACCTTTCCTAGTAGACATCTGGCAGTGCTTGGAGGCATTTCTAATCATTGCAGCTAGGGAGGGACATTGTCATCTAATAGATAGACCAGGAACGCTGCTAAGTTTCTCACAATATGTAGGGCAGCTCCCTACCACCAAGATTTGCCCACTCCCCCAATATATTAGTAGGACCAATGTTGAGAAAACTTGATCTGGGACAATAAGGGTCTTGAGGAGAATAGGAAGATAACCACCTCATCCCAGGTGAGCACTGATTTTGATATAGGTTTTTGCTGTAGTGGCAAATAGGTGAATAGTGATTGATATGTAACCTGTTTATGCCGCAGTCTGGCTGCAGCAGAATAACCGGGAGGTGACGAACAACTTGTGTACATTGATACAGCAGGAGTGGGAGCCATTTATTGTAGGACAGGAGCAGTATTTATACATTCCACACAGCTTATCTAATTAACATAAACTAGATACAGCAGTCAACCAATCAGGAATCTCCACACTTAATGGCTCGCTTTTGTTACTTCTCAAACCACTCCCTCTGGCATTTTGCCAGGCACCATCCAGACTTGTTTACGAACTCTAACATTCCCCTGGCAAAATGCCAGGTGTTATTTTGACTTGTTTACAGACTCTAACATGTTTACCTGCCTCTTACCCATGGAAGCAGATTTAGAGTTGAGAAAGAGGAAGAAACAGGATCTGAATCACCTACACTTAAATGATCCAGTTCAGATAATGAGGACTCTTGCTGTTTAGCAGGGTAAATGCAAAGCAAGTGAAACAACAACAATAAAAAACCAAGAAAACAAAAATCGTACACAGAGAAATAGTACAAAATGACAGATTGTCCTGTTCACCTGCTCGTGTTGAGACTAAAACTCTAGAAAGCACACACTCTGTCTATATATACATATACATGTGTGTGTGTCTGTATACACACACACACATACTTACATATGTTTATTTTTTATATGATCAGGGAGGTGATAGAATGATAAGGAAGGGGAGTAAAAATAAAAACAGGAGAATTCCTGAAAAGGATGACGTGCTTTATGGACTATGGTAGAAGTGCTATGGGCTATTAGCATTCTTCGAACATTTTTATTACTGGCCCAGACATTCATAGGTTTCTTATTTCTGCAAAAAGAACTGATATCTATTATTCCCAACTTGGAGAGTTAATTTTACAATAGTATTTTTTCCAAGTGCATTTTATCGGTTTCAGTTGTGAAGATGAGACTTGACTTTAGACTTTCTGAAACCAACAAAATACCAGCATTCCAAGCCTTATTAGATTGTCTAATTGTCCCTTGGGTACCATTTATTTACTTATTCTGTTAACTTTGTTAAAAAAAAAAAATCTGCATTAGTTTTCCATCAGTGTTATTGGTATTTCCTCTCCACAGCAAGGATTCAGAGCTGTTCCCTCCCCCTCTGTCCTCCATGCCCACTCTTGGGGACAGGAGAAGGAGATTCTGAAAATAAATGAAGTAACTGTTGCTCATGGGTTTTCCCTTGCCGTTATCCACATGTCAGCTGTGTTTTAATTTAATGGGATGATCACAGTAGAGCACCATGAGGAATTTGTTCTTCCGATTGCACCACAATAGCCAGAGCAAGTTCACCTCCCAGTGTACCTAAAGAGGATCCCAGGTCCAGCTGTATGTTTTCTGATCAGCTCGAAGTTAAACTAAGTTGGCAGAAATCGAAGACGTATACAGATTGATTTAGCCCATACATATTGTAGAGGCAAATGAATTTCTAAGCATATTTCCCGTTTGTAATCACCTGTTCTTGCACTTCTCTTTGCTGCCTTTTCCTGGGGTGCCAGGAAAGGTAGGGTGGTGGCTAAGATGAAGCTTTCTAAGCCAGGCTCCAGCTCTGGGGGAACTCCCTTATTTTTTCACGGTTCTCCTGCTTCTCAAATTTCCATTCTTAGTCTGCTGTGACAGGCTGAAGCATGACTATCTTCCTATGTGAGTTGGAGGAGGGAGCAGGGGGCTCCTTCTCCCTCCCCCATGAGTAAGCACCTTCACGCAGAACCTGCTATGTGCAACAGAGAAGCCTGTGTTCCTGCCATTCTGCACAGGGTAATGTATTTTTTTGTGATTTTCTCAGCTAATAGAAGTGCAAGCTGAATACCACAGGAAGTCATTGACACTGTTGCAGGCTGTATTGCCTCAAATAAAAGCACAACAAGGTAAGCACATGCCTTCCCTGGGAAGGGAGTCTGGGGAGCCCACTTGCCTTCCCAGATGAGACCATCTCCTTGCATTTTGGTCACTGTTTAAGATTTACACAATCATGTCACATTCAGATGAGCCCCTAGAACTTTGTATGATGGTATTGATCCAGTCGTAATCAAGTCAAGCACATCCAATCATGAACCCCACCCAGGATGAATGTGGTGTGTCACATTAACCCCAGCACTAATGGATACAGCTGGCTGACCACCTACCCTCTCCCTCATCCCCAATCCCCAACTAGGCCGCCATTTTTTTTTTTTTTTTGGTAGTCTTAGGAGAATCTGAATGACAAGAGAAAAGAAAGATAATGTGAGTGACCTTCTCAAACTGCTGACTGACTTCTTTCTTTCTTCTCCTCCTCAGAGGCCTGGGTTGAGAAACCCTCCTTTGGGAAGCCACTGGAGGAGCATCTCACAATCAGTGGCCGAGAGATCGCCTTCCCCATTGAGGCGTGTGTGACGATGCTGCTGGAGTGTGGGATGCAGGAGGAGGTAGGATGGAGCATAGCCAGACCCAGCTATGAGCAGGTCACCTCTTCTAAGAGGCAGCATCTCCGGGGTCTTCTCTCCTGTATCATCTCTATCCTGGCCCCCTCCAATCCAAACACAAAGACAGGGGATGTGGTTCTGCCCCCTGCCCTGCAGACACAAACTGGTCCTGCTTTTTCTTCATTTTATATTGAGAGTGGAGGATTGTGGGCAGCTTGCTACATCTGGCCCTGAGGACTGGATGTGCAGATTTGACTTGTTGTTTCTTCAGACTTAATGTGATTTGATGACTTTGGCATTCTATTGCTGCTGTTACTACGCCAACTCATTCTCTCTCCTCCTCCTATTGTGTAAAAATTTTCCTAATTTCCAAAATAGAGCTCTTAACGTTTTGGATCACAGGTCTTTTATAGACATCCTCAAAATTTGATTGATAGCAACATTAGAAAGTATTTTTAAAGAACTGCCTTTAAAAAAAAAGATCTATGAGAAATTGGTGGTGGCTGTTGTTTTTATTTCTGTGTGAATTGTTTCCTGGGAGATAAGAGCCATCTTTCTTTGCTCCAGTAGGCTCTTTTAACACCTTTATCCAATATTCCTTTGAGCTGATCACCTAGTCCATGTCTATTTAGACCACTCATGCATTTATTACTAAACAAAGTATAAAATGAGAAAGGAGGGTTATAAACAGCGTAGCATCTATCCAGTAAGCCTGGTTAATCAAAAACAGGCTGCAACCCAAGTAAGCACTGGGTCACATGGGAAAAACTAAGGTTTCTAAGTGGAAGAAGGAAAGGCAGTGAACGTTCATCTCAGTGTTGGCTGTTTCCATGTGCCAGGTCTATTTGAGATGCTAGATATCCAAAAAGGAATGGGAATAAATGTTTCATTTTTACCCCATTTTATGTGCCTTCATGTTTGTCATCAATTAAGAAAGAAGAATTCTCTTTGATATCTGAGAAATAGTTTCACATAGGTGGTGAACTGGACTTTTTAGCCCCTCTATTTTATTTTTTTAAATTATGGAAATATGTATACACACAAAGATAAGAAAATGATCCCCATCCCCCAGCTTGTAGTCAATCTGTTTTAATCTCTATCTCCATTTCCTGCCTCCTAATACCTACTTTGGATATTTTGAAGCTAATTTCAGATGTGGTGTCATTTCCACAAAGTGTTTTAGAATGTATTTCTTAAAGATAAGGAATATTCTAAAATACAGTTGCAACAGTATTATTATAGCAAAAAATAACAGTAATGTACTAACATCATTACATATCTAGTCGATGTCAATTGGTTCTCAGAGAATGGACTCTGACATCTCTAGTCTTGCCTCAACTTTCCTGTCTCTGCCCTTTCTGAGACATTCTGCCTCTGGACAAATCTTGCACTCAATTAATCTCTCTCTCCTTCTCTTTCTTCCTTCTCCTCCTTTCCCTCCCCTCTTCCTTTCTCTCTCTCCTTCTCCCTTTTTCTTTCTCTTTTTCCCTACTTTGCATCAGCTCTTTCCCTTTAATAACAAATATGCTTAGGTTTTCCCCTAATTTACGAAAAAAAAAAAAAAATCTTCTTTCAACCTTGCTACAACCTCGGACTCCTTTCCTAACCCCTTGGTTTCTTTCTGCTTTTCAATTTCTATGAATAACTTGCAGCATTTGCTGTTTGTGCATTATCAACACCATTTACTCGCTGCTCTTCCTTGGTGTAGCTTCTGTCCCAACCCCTACACTGCAGCTGCCCTCGGGGGGCCCCCAGGGAGCCCCAGGTTGTCAGATCTAGGGCCTCAGTCCCAGCCTCCTTGGCCACGCAAGTGCCTGATGTTGCTAGTGCAGCCATCCTTGAAGGGCTCTGCCGGGCTGGCTGTCCCCTCCTGCCTCCAACCACAGGGCCCTCCCCATTACCTGTTCTTTCCTGTCATTTACTCCTCATCTCCTAGTGCTTCACATCCACTTCAGTGGGAGGGCTCCACTCCTGTGTTGGCACTCTTTAACATTTCCATGAAAAATTCCCTCTAATATCCATAGAAATACTCACTAGCTCTCTTTTTTTATTATTTTTTATTTTTTTAGTTGTAGATGGACATAATACCTTTTTTTAAATTTATTTTTATGTGCTGAGGATTGAACCCAGTGCCTCACATGTGCTAGGCAAGTGCTCTACCACTGAGCCACAACCCCAACCCCACTAGCTATCTTAATAACGCTTCCCTTAATGGGACAGTCTCCTCTTGCAGTTATGCAATCAAATATCTGAAGTCTTAGGCACTCATCCACCTTATCCACAGGGCATATGTTCCAAGACCCCCAGTGGATGCCCAAAACTATTACCGAACTCTATATATACTACTAGGTTTTTTTTTTTTTTTTTTTTGCTATACATAAATACTTTAAATTTATACATTAGGTATATGTAGTAAGAGATTAGCAGCAACAGTAATATACTAGAACACTTGTAACAATATATCATAATAAGCTATTCAAATTATAGAAATGAGTTATTTATTTCTGTAATTTTCCATTTAGTATTTCCAGACTGAAGTTGACCAAGGATAACTGAAACTTACTGAAAGTGAAGTTGCAGATAACAGAGGGTTACTGTATTTAACACTGTCCACCACCAAGTACTGCTGGCTCTTCTTGCATGGCTATGCCTGGTTTTGTGAGAGTCTAAACCTCTCCTTAAGTGTATTTTGTAGCTTGGTCTCTTGGTCATAGTAGCCTTATAGACACATTGCTTAACCTCCTCACATACATGCCAAAGAGCCTTGAACGCTGATTTATCTGTCACACCCTCCACTAGGAAGGGAGTTAGCCATCTTAGTAGGCCAGAAACTCAGTATTTCAGACTGAACATTTTCTTTTAAAGGAATCTGGAAATCTGAGTGACCATAAAAGTTTGAAGGAGCAAACAAGCGCATTCTGCCAGCTTGTTTCTCAGCCTGTAGTTTGGATCACAGAATGGAGGAAGCTCTTGAGAACAGTTGGTGCATGCCTATAATCCTAGCAGCTCAGGGGGCTGAGATAGGAAGATTGAAAGTTTGAGGCCAGCTTCAGCAACTCAGTGAGACCCTCAGCAACTGAAGGAGACCCTGTGTTGAGATAAAACGGGCTGGGAATATGACTTAGTGGTAAAACATTCCTAGGTTCAATCCCCAGTATCAAAATAATAATAATAACAACAACAACAAACAATAATAATAAAAAAAATGCAGGAAGCTAACAAGTTGAAACAGAAACCACTAGGGCTTTCTGTCTAACTCACCTGGGACTTGGTGGTTCCTTTTCAGTGCTGACCAGCATTTGTCTTCTCTTCTGCACACTCTGCCCTCTTCTTTCCGTGCCTGGCTTGCTTTGCTCTACAATGTGCAGAGGCTTATTTGAACGAAGTGATGGTAATACCAAAGTAATGCTAATAATGGAACATGGAGGCTCCATCATACCCTGTCCCCAGTCTGCCCTTCCTCTGAGGACTTGGCAATTTGATTGCTCCTCGTGTATGTGCACATTCACCCACACCCCTCATAGACCTTTTCTCATCCCACTTGTTAGATCTCCACGTCTGACCAGGTCTCAGTCAGTTCTTCACAGGACGTATCTTAAGTGTACAGGAACAACAGTTTGAGTGTTCAGGGTTCTATTAGCCAATAGATACTTCCTGAACCAGTATAATGAGCCACCCTGACATCAGGCAGGAAAAGAGCACAGCGTAAAATTAGATCCAGTTCCTACTCTCAAGTTGCCTATGTCTGCAGGAAGAGACCTAAAAAAAGGGGCAGAAACAATATGGGAACCTGGTGTTAGAAGAATGTACCTTGGAGGTTTTGCTCTTGTACCTTTGAGTTGCCGACTGTCTGCTAACCCTCTGTTTTGTACGTAGGGACTCTTCCGAGTAGCTCCCTCTGCCTCCAAGCTGAAGAAGCTGAAAGCTGCGCTGGACTGCTGTGTGGTGGATGTGCAGGAGTACTCGGCAGACCCCCATGCCATTGCAGGTGGGCACCCACAGCCTGTTGGCAGGATGCTCTCAGCAAGGCCGCATAGGGAAGGGGTGAGCATGCAGAGGGTGTGGTTACATGTCAAGGACACTCCAGCCCAGGCCTTTCCAATAGGCTTCATTCACATGTGTCCACTCAGGGCCCAGTTTCAGGGCTGTTTGTTCTGGCCCCTTGAAGGAAGGCCTCCTACTGTTCCAGGAGAAGATGTAGTGATGTGGGAAGTAAGGGGGACAATGCGATTGTCATCCCAGGTCCCCCTACCAGAGTCCTGGGTCTGTTCGTGTGAGTAGCCTCTGTGTGGTCTTGTGTTGGTCAGGGAGCCAGTCTCCAGAGACAACCCACATGGGTACTGCAGGCTGCCAGGTCATAACGGCTCATTGTCATTATTGTATCTACACTCAGGAGCTTTGAAATCTTACCTCCGAGAGTTGCCAGAACCACTCATGACCTTTGAACTCTATGATGAGTGGATCCAGGCGTCCAAGTGAGTACCTTGTGTTGCACCGTCTTGCGGGTCAGAGTTTATGGGGATGTACAGTCATCCCTTGGTGTCTGTGCTCAAGATCTGGGACCCCAGAGGCTCAAAGTCCCTTATGTATAATCACTTAATATTTGCATATAAGCCAGTGCACTTCATCTTGTAGACTTTAAATCACTTCTAGATTACTTACAATACCTAATAAAATGTAAGCACTGTGTAATATTTTTTATTAACGTATTCTTTAGGCAGTAAACAAGGGGAAAAGTCTGTGTACGTTCATGCAGATGCAACCATCATAGCCCTAACTGCAAAGAACACGGTCCACAGCTAATTGACTACATGGATCTTGAACCCAGGAATACTGAAAGATGGCTATGTTTATTGAAGATAGGGAAGCATGTAACCTGGGATCTGGAAATTTCATTTCAAATCCATCATGAAGACATTTTCCAAAGAGGCATGTACAAGGATGTTGATTGCAGCATAATTTGGGATAACAGAAGCCTGGAAGTTAATTAAAGATTTAGTGGGCAAGGGAGGTGGGAGTCCTGACTAAATAAACTATGGTGTGCATTTTCTGAAACCATTAGGCAGAGCTGATATGAAAATATATGGAGATTTATTGTTGAGTGGAGTAAAGCAAGTTAATGAGGATACAATGTGATATTCTATTCTAAAAAAAAAAATAAATAAATACCAACACACTCAAATGGTAGAACTTCAGGTATGCCTCGATATATGTGGAAATGCACTAAAGAAGGTTCTGGAAGGGCTCGCTCGGGCAATGGCAGTGACCCCTGCTAAGAGTGCAGTAGGACATGAGAGTGACCATGGCAGTCTTTGTCTTCATCTGTGATAGAAATATTGCACCAATAACTAATAATAAAAAGGCAGAACAAGAGGGTAGTGGACGCTGTCTCCTGAGCATAAGCCTGAGGGAGCAGGCCTCTCAGCAAGGAGCAGAGCCAGGCCCCCGATGGTGGCAATGCCAAGCCTGGGGGCAGGGTCACCACCAGGTCACACACTGCAGCTTCTCAGTGTGGCTTTGCTTCTTGATTCTTGCATTCTTTCCTTGGTTTATTGCTGTATTAGGATGTTATATTTCTCTTTGGATATAAGAGCTATCTCAAGCTAGGTGTGGTGGTGCGCACCTGAAATCCCTGCAGCTCAGGAGGCTAAAGCAGAAGGATCTCAGGTTCAAAGCCAGCCTCAGCAACTTAGTGAGGCCCTGAGAAACTCAGAGAGACCCTGTCTCTAATAAAATATTTTTTTTAAATTTTTTTTTTAAGATAGAGTGAGAGAGGGAGGGAGGGAGAGAGAATTTTTAATATTTATTTTTTAGTTTTCGACGGACGGACACAACATCTTTGTTTGTTTGTGGTGCTGAGGATCGAACCCGGGCCGCACACATGCCAGGCGAGCGCGCTACCGCTTGAGCCACATCCCCAGCCCCTAATAAAATATTTTTAAAAGCTAGAGATGTGGCTCAGTGATAAAGCAGTCTGGGGTTCAATTCTAGGTACCCCAAAACAACGTCTCAAGTAAACACTGTTGAGAATTGGCACGGGAGGAAAAGTGGTGGAGAGAATGGTAGAGATTGTGCAGTCAGAAGACAGAAAAGAAGAGAAGAGTGTTTTATGAGAGCAAGTCTGGAGCAAATAGCTATCCTAGCAAGGTGGCCATGATTGGAAATGGTGTCTTAGAGATCTCTGGTGTTGGGACTTAGTCTCAAGGACACCCTGGGTCTTCTGTCAGAAAGAATCTGGTGTGTGTATCTGATACTGATGCACCTCCCCCTTCCACACACACTCTCTCTTCCCCCCACCCCCTCTGATGGATCTTTTTTAAAAAAATCTGACTCACAATTGTATAGGTTTATAGAATATAAGATGATGTTTTAATCCATGTATGTATCATACAGTGATGAAATCTAGGTAATGAGTATAACCATCACCTCCAGCATTAATCATTGATGCTTCTAGTTCTTAATGAAGCCAGACTTGAATGTGCAGAGCCAGAGGAAGCTCGCTTCAATCAAGTGACACAATGTAATTTTTTTTTTTTTTTTTTTGTGGTGCTGGGGATTGAACCCAGGGCCTTGTGCATGCAAGGCAAGCACTCTACCAACTGAGCTATATCCTCAGCCCCCAACAAGTGTATTTTTTTAATGCATTGTAAAAGGCTGGCCAAATCTGTGGTACTCTTATTGTGAAGACCAAGTGTTGGACTCTGTGAGGATACTAGTTATAATAAGTGGTATCATTTTTTTCAGTGCTTATTAGAGGTTTAACTTTGCACTAAGCCCATTATACATTTTTACGTTCCTTAAATTTCTCAGAAATTCTTATTAATTAAGTGGTTTGTGCTATGTCCCCCATTTTACAGGTGAGGAATTTGAAGTATAGAATAGGTACATAGCAGCAGGCTACTTGCCAGCTAATGTATGGCAGAATGAGAATTTGAATCCATGGAGTCCAGTTCCAGAGTCCATGCACTTACCTATTTTATGCCTCTCTAAAGAAAGACTGGTCCCAGGAAGAAGTCAAGTGAGAACATATCATTTGCTGAAAACCATCCTTTTTTTTTTTTTTTTTTTAAATCATGAAATATCCAAGAGATCTGGACGATGTGAAGCTAGAGAAAGGGAGGCTAGCTCAGCTCATCACCACCTACCTACCCAAGATACTCTACTTCTTACCTCATTCGCAGAGGTGGATCTCCATTAGGAAATAGGAATGATCCAGTGACCCGAAGTAGTCGGTATCTTTGAACCTAGGGAAAATGAGAACTTATTTTCACACTGGATTATAAACATGTCATGCTGAAGGCTCTTGGTGATGATGGTGCCTTCCACTTAAGGTCACACCTTCTCGAGAAAGTCATTTTTGCCTGAAGCAATTGTTTTTAACCCTCTGTGTGCATCAGACTCTCCTGGGAAGCTTCTAAAAGATGCCGGTGGAGATTCAGGTGACCATTCCTCTGGGTTCTGTGTTTCAAAGCTCTCAAGGCTGTTGGGTGGATAACCTTGACCCACCTTAACAGGGCATTGGATTGCAGGCAGATTCCTAAAATACAGTCGGCCAGGGACGGGGCATCTGGAAGTCCAGCAGAACCAAAAGTGGACTGGTTATCTCAAAGTGACATTCCTTACAGTGTTAAAGCAGAGAGGACTTCTTTGTCATGCAGGCTGAGGAAAATGAGGCCTCTTCTGATTGCTTGTTGTGAATCTTCTATTTTTGGAAAAATTAGTCTTTTTCAGAGTTCCATTTGATTGCATGGCACTTTCTGGTTTGGTCTGGGCTGCCGTGGCCCAGTGCTCTAGGCTCCTCTAAAGTAGCAGCTTCCCAGGAACTGACTGTCACCTTCAAAAGGTCAAAGATCGGAAAAGGGAGTGGGGTTTGGTGTCAATGAAGATGCCTCAGCAAATGACAGAGGTGACAACAGCAGCCTGCAGATGGCTACTTAGCAATGATGTCAAACTTTGCATGAACCAGCAGCAGGACCAGCTGCTTTGGACTGCTTCTTCTTTAGACCTCTGGTGCAGCTCTGTGAGCAAAATATTATTGTGAACCTGGTACAGAGGAGGAAACAGGGGCTCACAGAGGTTGGGGAGTTGGCACAAGATCACAGGATGGAGCTGGGTCTTTCTTCCCACGCAAAACCCCGCCTTGGCCAGGCTAGAGACCCATGACAACTCCTTAACGCATCTTCTGTCACCTTTCAATTTCTGAATGGAACCTTTAGTTTTCACTCTAGCCTCCTGGTTCAAGATCCTTGTGGAGAATGCCTGCCTCTTTCTTGAGGCAGAAATGAGGAAAGTCAGTTTTCTCACCTTGGTCAGAATCAACAGCAGGACCTTGGAGTACCCAGCAATGAAGTGTGCAGGTGACAGCCACACCTCGGCTGTGGGTCCCGGGTCAACAGGTTGGAGTTGGGCCTCACCCTGATGCTGTTTATCTTTCAGTTTTTCTTGAGAAAGGATTCTTTGAGCATAAAGCTTTTCTGATGTGGGTCTTAATATAGATTTATATAAAAAATGTCATCTTTTAAATAATACATATTTATTTAATTCTAAGAGTAAATCATTTTTGCATAGTGAAAAAAGTCCTTCAGCTACTGGAAGTTATCTATTTCCTGAGTTATATCTTGAAGGGTCAGATTTCTTCATGTCTATGTAATCTCCTTATTTACAGGTATTTTTATTAAGGATCTATTATATGCCAAATGTCAGGAAAATTAAGAAGCAGTAATATCTTAATATAATATGTAGCATCATCTAAATACTTCACTATGCATTGAACTGGATGGCAGGCAGCCACTACAGTGTGCAGAGTTGGACTCCCTGACTGGTGTCCTGCGTCTCCTGACAACCCTGTAACCCTGTACTCCAGAGCAGGCCTCAGGCCTCTGTCCCGTTCCCTTAACTGCCATCCTGGCATGCTTCACCATACAGAGAAAATTGTGTTGGACTAGTGCAGGCCAAGATAGAAGGATAGCATAGAAGGTAAAATAATTATATGCAAACATTTTAAATAATAATACCTTGCTCTTACGGGTCAGTTATAGTAGTTAGCTCTTTCTTGTCCAGTATGAGAATGACTGGTTAATATGATTGCCAATGGGGATTCATTGAATCATGCTCAACCAGTGGCTTTTCCTATCGTTTTCCCAGTATCCAGGAGCAGGAGAAGAGGCTCCAGGCCCTGTGGAATGCTTGTGAGAAACTGCCCAAGGCCAATCATAACAACATCCGGTAAGTGTGGACTGGAGTTGTAGCTCAGTGGTAGATCGCTTACCTTGCATGCGTGAGGCCCTGGGTTCGATCCTCAGCACCACATAAAAATAAATAAATAAATAAATCATATTCATCTACAACTAAATAAAAAAGTTTAAAAAAAAAATCTGGTAAGTGGGTACTGGAGACAAAAGGATCAGCTTATTTGAGCCTCAGATACGCAGTTCCCCGGGGAAAAGTCACAGTAACCTGTGTGCATAGCCTTTTGTGGTGTGTTGTTGGCACATAGGGTCTCTTTTTAGCCTCAACCTGTGAGGTAAGGCAGGGATTGTTATTACCATTTTGCAGAGAAGGAAACAGGCTCACAGCCTCTGTATGGTGCTGGAGGCTACCTAACTAGCTATTGTCTAATTCACTCAAGTTCTTTGATTTGCAAGGAGTGAAGAAATCTGCACCCTAGCTTCAGATATTGGAACTTATGGTAAAGGTAAGATGTTCCTGGAACCTTATAAGCTGACCAGTGCTGGAGCTGGCAGAGGCAGAGGTGTCCTTCAACTAGTCACAGGAAGAGGAGGCAAAGGAGAGTATTATGCACCTTTCACTCAACCTTTCATTCAACCCAGATATTTTCCACTTCTGCCTCTCACCTTGCTAGTACCTGGACTGGACTTCTCACTGTGCTGCAGATCTTCCCCCTTCCCCGGGCTTCTGCTTTCTCATCACAGTGTCTTGCCAGCACCCCTCCTGGCCTGCTGCCTCTCTTCTGAGTTTCTTTGGATGCAGATTTTCAGCTTTAGCATCTGCAACCATCTGCCTAATTGTTTCTCTTTTTTCTTGCTAAAAATCCCACCAGCAGGGATAGGGTTGTCCCTCAGTAGTAGAGCACTTGCCTCGCACATGTGAGGCACTGGGTTCAATCCTCAGCGCCACATAAAAATAAAGATATTGTGTCCATCTACAACTAAAAAAAAAATTAATATAAAAAAATCTCACCAGCAATCAAATAGTGGTTTCTCAAAATTAAACATACATGCTGGGCATGGTTGACGCAGTCAGGAGGCTGAAGCAGGAGGATTGTTCAAGGCCAATCTCAGCAACTTAATGAGGCCTTAAGCAATTTAGCAAGACCCTGTCTCTAAATGAAAAATGAAAAGGATGGGGCTGTGACTCAGTGGTTAAGTGTCTCTAAATTCAATCCCTAGGACCAAAAAAAAAAAAAAAAATTAAACATAGAACTACCATATGATCCAACAATTTCACTTCTCGGTATATTCCCCAAAGAACTGAAAGTAGGGACTTGGTATTTGGATATCCAGGTTCACAGCAGCATGATTCACAGTAGTCCAAAGTGGAAGTAACCAAAGAGTCCACAGATGGATAAATGGATAAATGAAATATAGCTTATACATACAATGGGATATGAGATTCTGGTTCTTGCTACAACATGAATGAATCTTTGGTCTTGATGCTAAGTGAAAGAAACCAGGCACCAGAGGACAAAGGCTTATGATTCCCCTTATGTGAGTTACCTAGGGTAGTCAAATTCTTAGACACTAAGTCAAATGATGGCGGCCAGGGCCAGGGGCAGGGTCGAACGCTGAGGTTAATGTTGAATGGGTACCATTTTGGTTTGGGAAAATGAAAGCGTTCTGGAGATAGATAGTAGTGATGACCTGGTATCAGTGTGAATCTACTTAACCCCACTGAAATATATACCACAAATGGGTCTAAATGGTAAATAGTTATGTATATTACTATAATTAAAAAATCCCAAGATCAAAAATTAGATTGGTTGGTACTCAGCTCACGTTGGTGACCACAGCCTGTGGATTGATGATCCCCAGCTTTCTATGTCCTGGTCTCTTTCCTTTGTGGCCTCTTGGAGGGCATGAGGCCTGGTGGGGAGAGGCTTTGGGTAGAGATGGCCCAGTGTCAGCATAGTGACGACATGGTAGGACTCCATGTCTGGTCCTCTTGACAGAAGACGTGTGGAAAACTTCCAAGGAAGTTGCTTCACTCTGACCTGAGCAAATCAGGATGAGGACCACAGCCTTTTGGAACCCAGAGTCTAGGAGGAAATGTGGGTTTTTAATGTGGTTTTTCCAAAGCTTTTCTGTTGTGCTGAATTTGTGCATAATTTCTTATTTTTTTAAAAACATTATCTTTAATGTATTCACACATCACTGTACCTTTTAAAGTATGTCATGTTTAGTTTTTTAGTGCATTCAAAGAGTTCTGCAACTGTCAATACTAATTTTAGAGATTTTTTTTACCACTCCAGAAAGAAATCCAGTTCTTATTAGCAATCACTTTTCATCTTCCCACTCCCCAACTCAGGGCCTGGCAACCACTGATCTACTTTCTGGGTCTATAGATTCGCATATTCTGGATATTACATATTATAGATATCATAATGTAGTCTCCTGTATCTTGACTTTTCTTTCACTTATAATGTGTTCACAGTTCATTCATGTAGTGAGATATGTCAGTTCTTTATTCTTTCTTGTGGCTGCATAACATTCCATATTTCATATTTACCTGTTCATCCCTTGATGAACCTATGGTTGATTTTCACTTTTTTGGCTATTGTGAATAGGGCTGCTCCGAGCATTCATCTACCAATTTATGTGTTGACATACTTCTCTTGGATATACCCCTGGGAGTGGAATTGCTGGATCACATGCTAAGCCTGTGTTCATTATTTTCATCATTGGATCTTTCCAGAAAGCTTGACTAAGGGTAATTGCAGAGGACACCACCTCTCAGTCAGAAGGAAAGATGGAGAGTTTTTTCTGTCCAGTGTTCATTGAAGCAGATGTTTCGCATCTTGCGGAGTAAGATCTGAGTCTGTCTTGTTTTTGCAAAGAGAATACAGATTTCTCATTTCCTGATACATGATATGTCTTCATTATACTGCAGGATATATGAGTCTCGCTGTCAGTAAGATGTGCTACTGGAGAGAAGTGTCGGCACACCTGTCTGGTGTGGAGCCCTAGTTAAACGTGGCCCTTCTCATTTCTTTTCAGATACTTGATCAAATTTTTATCGAAGCTGTCAGAATATCAAGATATAAACAAGATGACTCCAAGTAACATGGCAATTGTCTTAGGACCCAACCTCCTCTGGCCGCAAGCAGAAGGGTGAGTGAAGGGAGGGGAGCCCTGTGGGCAGTGTGGCAGGGGTGCAAGAGGGCATGCAGGGGCATTCCTTGGATCATTCCTGGATCATCACCAGCCTTATTTATATTTCAAGTCCTCATTCTGTCATGGACCACTCCCTTTATGGGGGAATGCACAGAGTTGTGCAGACCTCCCTCACTGATGCTCTCAGAGCTGTGGGTCTGAAGGAAGGGTCTTCTCCAAGTTAACCCAGGTCAGCATCAGCATGAAGAGAGGGAAGACGAGGGACATGATGACACCAGGCAAGGCAAAGTCTCTCAGGCACCCTGGACTCTGTCCAAGATTCAGAGGGATGGAGGGTTGTCTCCAAGGAGACCTCAGAGTCGGAAAGAGGAGGAACTCGGCAGTGATGAGAACTGTACCTCATGCTAAAAGTGCCTTCATGGGTGCTGTTCATTTACCTGTGGTTGTCCCCATTCAGAAAGGTAAAGTGTCCTTCCTGAGAGAAAGCCAGCTCACAAACCTAGGCCTGCAAGGTTCCAGTCCAGGATCCCTTCCTGGGCTCAATAGCTAGAGGACCAAGGATCCCTCATCCTGCCTTGGCTGGTGACCCCATCCTGCCCTCCTTTGCTCTGTGCTTGCAGAAACATCACTGAGATGATGACCACAGTTTCGCTGCAGATCGTTGGGATCATCGAGCCCATCATCCAGCATGCAGACTGGTTCTTCCCTGGGGGTACGTGGCGGCATTGGGTTGGGGGATCAGAGGTGGGGAGCAGGGAGATCTGTGAGTTCAGAACTCTTTGAAACCAAGGACCACGGCCCCCAGGGCTTTTGTTGGTCTTGCTTTTAATCTTTGCACACACACACACACACACACACACTGGTATTGGTACTGTCATAGCAGCTTCCTGTTCTCTTATCCATGCCGAGGGATGTTCTGGCATGAATGTGTCTGCTGTGGGTGCCAATGAGGTCCATAGATTCTACTGGTTTCATACCATGGTTCCTTCAGGTCTGTGAATCATGCCCTGCCGGTTGCAGAAAGAGGAGAGAAATCCTCTTCTCCAAACCCTCAGGGCTCACAGATCATCTGGATATTGCCCTTTCATTGCCCTAAGTTGTACCCTTTGATTTGCCCCTTAGCATGTACAAAGGCAGATTTTTTTTTTTTTTGGCCTAATTCAAAATTAGCTTCTCAAGGCAGCTTTCTAAGAGGGAATTTAAGACGTGTCCTGAGCCATGGAAGCATCATTGCCTAAGTACATGTCTTTCAGCTTTGACTGATATTTTTGTTTTTGTTTGTTTTTGGTACTGGGGGTTGAACCCAATGGTGCTCTACCACTGAGCCACATCCTCAGCCCATTTTTACTTTTTATTTTGAGACAGAGTCACTGTGTTGCCCAAGCTCTGCCTCAGCCTCCCAAGTCATTGGGATTAAGGTATTCGTCATCGTATCTAGCAGTGGTGATAGTTTTAAAGAGAGAGCAATGGTTACATTAAATTTAGGGTTTACTGAGAAAAAAAAAACTGATGCTGTGACATTATGGGTAGTAAATATTAGGAGGATGCTTCTAGCTATGCAGCAACATCCACTAACTCAAGCGAAGGTGAACCCCTGTAGTCCTCAGAGGAAATCAAAGAAGTTTGGCCATCTTTCTTCTGCTGACCGTGTTTGAGTGGCTGATCTTCTGAGAGCTCTATTGATGGCACAAAGCTAGGTGAGGCTAGGAAGCGAAGATAAAGAAATAAAGGAAATAAGAGTCGGAGGCAATAATTCTTCATGTGCTGTGGATAAGCTGATTCATTACATCATGGACAGGCAGAATTGAGCAGAGCAAATCCATTCCCACTGACCAAAAAAAAATGTATCTCTTTGGGAACCAACAAATACCTCAATGAAAATTCTTCCTATTTCTAACTTAAAAAAAAAATGTATCCTGTTCAGTTTTATAGTAGGACTATATTATCATTTACAAATCTTAATATTGACTTTTTTTCATGACCAATTTCAATGGCTAGCACTTCTCAAATAATAATAAATAAAAATAGCCAGGGTGGATGTTGCTGTTTTCCTGATTACATTAGGACTGCTCTAAAGCATGATGTTTGACTAAGCTGATTTTGTCTTTTTGAGAAAGTATCCAAGGGTTTCTATTTTATTAAGTTTTGTTGGATTTTGAAAAAAAACACAAATGGACTTTTTTTTTTATTAAATGCCAGTCTACGTGACCACATGTATTCTCTTCTTTGTCCTATTAATAGGATAAATGGTATTATTAAGGTGAGTATACCAATTCTCTCTTCCCTGCAGAGATAGAGTTCAACATTACAGGCAATTATGGGAGTCCGGTGCACGTGAACCATAATGCCAACTATAGTTCAATGCCCTCCCCAGACATGGACCCCGCTGACCGGCGTCAGCCCGAGCAGGCCCGCCGGCCCCTCAGTGTCGCCACGGATAATATGATGCTGGAGTTTTACAAAAAGGATGGGTATGAAGCTGTGTCCCTTTTTCAGTCTTGGGGATTGGGAAAGTTGCGGGGAGGGAGTGAAAGGTAAGGAAAGAAACAGGATTGACACAGGAAGTTGCACTTACTACCACATCTTGGTGACCAGTAGCAATTGAACACTGAACTCATTCTTGAAACTGCGCTATCTGGAATGGGTCTCTCTGGCTTGCCTCCCTTGGGGCCAGAGTTAAGTATAGCTTTCTTAGCTGACAATTGTGATCAGTATTGATTAGTTCTCATCAAAGAAATTAAAGTTGGTCAATAAGGATAATTTTTAAAAATACATAAGTATTTCATTTTGACTCAAAGTGTGTAAATGTGGAGCTGAGGGTTTAGCTTAGTGGAAGAGCATGTACTTATTAGCATGTGTGAAGTCCTGGGTTCCATCCCCAGCACCAGAAAAAGACAAAAAAAAAATGTGTAAATGTATATCACTTCTTGACTCTTTTGTGGCTTTACTTTGATTGTAGATTTGCTCAGTTACACTCTTCAGAAACATCCTTGCATAAATAATGCTTTTAATGCATAATTTAACATTTCCAGTTTCGATCTTTAGAGAGAAAACCTAAAATTTGGTGCATTCCAAGCGTAAAATTTTTATAGGTTTTTGAGATTTTTTTCCCCCTGTCTTTTATATTTGACACCTATCTTACTTCAGTGCAGTTCTTAATTAATGCATCCAACTTCACGTGTGAGAGTGCACAGGAACAACCCTTTTTACACTCATATTAAATGAATTTACATAATATTTGACTAGATGATATGATTCTCGTAGCAAGTAAGATGGGCAGAAGCAGGTTTTGTAACAAGCTCTGATGAGTCATGGGAAGTACTAGCTCTGCCTTGGCAACCGAAGTCTGTGGCTGGATGAGAATCCGTAGGGCATCCTTGATGCAGAAGAAATGGGTTGCCTGGCTTGGTCAAGCAGGTCCAATGAGTAAACTTTGGCTGGGAATTTAAAATCACCACCACAAAATAAAATTTAGTAACTGCTCCTTCAGGATACATGGGAGCATAAAGCACTGAATGAGAGTAACAGAAATTCAGACAACAGCAAACATTCCCCTTTCTGATCAACCACCGGGTACTCAGAAAGATCTGTTTGAAAGGCAAATGGCCCAAAGGGATAGGAGGGAGGGGTGAAAACCCTAGAAGTACAGAAGTGTAGGGGTTTCCCTTTTCACTCCTATTTATTCCAAATGAGAGTTGGCACTGGGGACTAGAGTTGTAGAAGAGACCCAAGCCTGTGTCCTGGTGGGGTCTTGAGGGTGGCCAGTGTTACCTTGCTGATCAGTGACCTGTATGTGTGAGGCAGTGGGGGCTGTTTCTGTGCACATTGCTGTAGTTTATTGTTCTCTGTTTAGTAGGGAGAGATCAAGTTCTTAAACATTCAAGGAAGGAAGGGAAAACTTCTTAAACCCATAAAAAGGAGTGAAATTAGAATCTGGGAGAAGCAGAGGCAGAGAATTAGAGAATGCACTGGAATTTATTTTTAAATCTCATAAGTAGTAATTCAGTTCCTTCATACATTCACTACGTCGAGGGGCTGCCCTTGAGGGTCAGTGCTTGTCTGGGCAGGGGTATAGAGAACACCTCAGATTTGGTCCTGGGTGTTTCTGCATCAATGAGGACTACTCTGTCTTGCCAGACCTGTTCTGATTCTCTCTATTTTCCCTAAAAAGCAATTCACATGTCTTCGACGAGGGAGTTAGCAAATCACCAGGATGGTCAAGTACCATTGGCCCCCTACAGACATGGGCAAATGCAAAAGCATTAACAAAGTCCTCTTATTTCAGAACTTTGTAAATGAGATGTCCCTTCTGTGTGCCATTATGATCTAAAGTTGAAATTGCCACTATCTACTCGGAGGGTCTAGGAGATGCACTATATAAATTATTGTTCTACATGAAATAGAATATATTGTGTATACTTTGAAATTTGTATTTCACATGAGGTGGAGATCTTCCTGGTTTAGGGAACCCTCAAAGAACTGATGGAGGCTAAGACTCAACATACCATTGTGTGCCACATAATGATATTTGGTCTACGATGGACCACATGTGTGACATGCATTTCACCCAGAGACATCATACCATCTTAGTTTGTGTAAGTACACTCCAGTTGCACAACAATGGGATCCTAAGTGACAACAGTTCTCATAACATGTACTGCCGTTCAGCAGCATGTGACTGGGTGTGCTTTAAGATGTAGTGAACTTTTGGTGATCAGTTCTAAACTGGCTTTCAGAGAACAAAAAACCCCAAATTGTAAGTTTTTTAGGGTAGAAGAAAATAATTTACATCCGTTGAGTTCTTGTCTTAGCAATGTTAGGGAAATCCTCCATATTTCTCCTCATTTCTGAGATTTTAAAGTTTACATCCTGAAGTCTTCAAACTACCCATTGAAACACTGACTAATGAAAGCTCATAGTATGGAGGTTTTTTGGCCAGGTTAAAAAAAAGAAAATTACACACACACATGTAAAATACATATTTAATTATATAAATTATATATTGATATATATGTTATATATCAATAAAAATGTTACTTTAAGAAAATGAAACAATTACAAAAAAAGGTAAAGAAAAAAATAGAACTGTTACTTTAAAAAAAAAAAAAACAGAAGAAAATTCTGGACAGATAAACCTGATAGAAGTGTTATAGAAATGGTAAGTTCCGCAGCAATGCCAATGACATTTTCCTGGACTAATGGCTTCTACATCCTAGATATCATATAAGGTAGTTTGCTCCCCTCGTGACTTAGAGCTTTGTTCCTGATGCCTTTCTGGTTCATGATGACACAGGATGCTGAGTTTCTGTAGCAAATCGCAGGATCAGATTCAGGCGCTCACATACATATTCTCATCATTGTGATAGACCTCGTTGTGATAGTCCCTGGGTTCAATCCCTGGTACCGAAAAAATAAACATTAAAAATAATAATAAAAATAGGGATGTTGAAATAAGGAGATTACTCTGGATTACCCTGTGCCCTACGTGACATAACGTGCATCCTTATAGGAAGGAGACAGGGTAGATTTCACTATACCACACAGAGGAGATTTGAAAATGGAACAGAGAGATTTGAAGATGGTAGTCACAAGCCAAGAAAACATCAGCAGCCACCATTACCTTATTGAGGCACAGGGGGATTCTCTGGAGCCCCTGGAGAGAACACAGCCCTGCCAACACCTCAGTTGACCTTAGAGGTACTGATTCTGGACTTCTAGCCTCCAGAACTGTGAGGGGATACATCGTAGTTGCTATAATATAATAATCCTGGGACCTATTATATCCACGTTCAGCTTTTGCCACTAGGTAATAGTGCAAGTACATGCTAAATGTATCTTAGCATCCAATATTGATAATGACCTTCTTGAAAATGCTGGAAGCAGGGAGGAAAGTATTTGCCTTACTCTGTAGATGAGAACTCTGTTGTGTCAATGAGTCTCTTAATTGGGACTGGAAGTTGAGGACATTTCAGAATATATTCCTTATTAGAATTTCATGAAGAATACAAAAGTGTGGGTTATGGCAGACCTCTTAGAAACATAAGATGCCGATGGGCAGGGAGGAGTGAAGCAGCAAGGATTATATTGTAGTGGGGCTGCCTGAAGACTTATCATGTGGCATGCTCACTGAATGCAGGTGACAACTCTAGATTCCTCGTCCCTAACCTTCTTACTGTAAAAAAGAGCAGTGAAGACAGCCTCTCAGGCTCACCTGCCCTGATTCTGCAAGCCCTCCACCCCTGTCACCTTGCTGGCACAGAAGAGCCAGAAAAGCCACTTACATGGAGGGTGGCTCCTGGACTCTGCTTTGTGCCTCCTGCTCATTGACTTCCAAGACCTTTGCTTCTTAGAGGTTCTTCTCAGCCCCTGGCTCCTTGCTTTCACCTTGATTCAACTTCACTTATGAAGCTGAGTCACTCAGTTTTCACCAGAAGCAGCAGGCCATGGGAAGTCTTGACCTCTAGAATGACTTTAGGTCTCCATGCAGCAGCATCTACCAAAGTCAGTTGTTCTTGTATTAATTCCTCTTCATTTGTTGTCTCCTAAGAAACACAAGCTGGGCATAGTGATGCATGCCTGTAATCCCAGCGACTTGGGAGGCTGAGGCAGGAGGATCCTAAGTTTGAGACCAGTCTCAGCAACTTAGTGAGACACTGTGTCAAAAGAAAAAAACAAAAAGACCGCGGAGATTTTGCTCAGCAGTGAAGTGCCCTGGGTTCAAACCTCAGTGCTAAAACAACAACAAAACCAAACCAAAAAACTCACAAGCAGTTCCTTGAGCCTGGCTACTGTTGCTTCTTTATTTAATTCAGCAATGAATAGAAACTTGTGAACTCTTGATACAACCTTCTCATTGAATTTCCCAATTTGTGAGCAGATTCCCCTCCTTGGGAGCATACTGACCAATTTTGTAATTCCTGTCTCTGAGCTGAGTTTTACTTAGACATCCAGACATTTCAGTATACCACTGTGCTTCTAGAGGTAAACAGACTTAGGCCTCTAAATGTGTAGATGCTGCTGCCTGTGTGATTGGCCTGCTCCGTAAAGATTTATGTTACTGAAAATGTCAGTGAACATTGGATGCGTGTTCACCGTGAGCATGCGGTGCTGTCGGCCGTAATAGAATGGTTTCAGCTGTCAGAGTGGTGATTACTTACAAGACAGCAGCCTCTTTGTAAAGGCAAAAGAATCCATTCAGCTCATGTTTCTCAGTTGCTGACCTTTCCCAGTGATAGTTAGCAGGGTTCCGATGGTACCCACCCACCCCATGCCCAAGCTGCTCCTTCTCTTGGTAGCCTGGAGTCTGAGGATGTAAGATGCCATTGGAAATAGAAGGCATCCCCTCACCAGTCCTGATCCTGACCCTCCCCCTTGGAAGGAATGATCCTTCCAAGCAGAATGGAATAGAGCAAGGAAGAGAAGATGGGGTGGGATTTGCATCTTTCAGGGTTCTTTTTGCTGGTCACCATAGGACACATCTCACACTCCTGCCATCCTTACTGACCATTGCAAATAAGTGTTACTAGCTCTTTTTTCCCCAAGTGAAAGAATAAATCTTTTACTCTTTTCATCCTGATAAATTCTGAAGCCCAGAAAGAGCATAGGTTGATAATCCCCCACAACCCACTTTAAATATAAGGGGGTCAAACATGGGGCTGTGGCCCAGAAATTTGAGTAGCCTCCAAGAGGGTTTCTGGACAGCTTACAGAAGGTACTTATAACCCAAATGACTTGAAAGCTAGTGAATCCTGGAAAAAGACATCCCTCCTACACCCCGTCCATTTTAAGGAATCCAAGGGAGATGAAAACGTGTCAACTAAGTGTACATCTGTATGTATAAAATGTAAAAGGGTCTCTGGTGATCCTTGGGAGGAAGTGTGTCAAGAATCTGTCCCCATCCCAGATGTGCTTGGTTTAGCATCCTCTGGGTCCCTCACTGCAGGTCCATCCTAGATATGTCCTTAAATGACCCAAACCACATCTGCTGCAACCAATCTTTGAAATTAAACTTTTTGTTTTTAATACTGTGTCAAGGTAAATATGACCATTTTACATGAGCAAGATTTTACCTTGGTGCTTCTGACCAGTGCAGATGACCATTTGGTAGAGTGAGGCCATGTAAGCACATAATAGCCCTGGTACCTCCGCCCCACTGTGCATATAAATACTAGAGACAAATGCAGGCAGGACAGTGTTTTCTCCTTTCCTACTAAAAATGTGAGCTTTTACCTGAGTCAATGAATCTCTTGTCTAAGAATCATAGGACCAGTTGTCCAATGAGAACCAACCTCCTTCCAAGTCCATAGGACCAAGAAGAGGGCAAATGGCTACTTGTACCAATTTCTTTTTTCATTATGACTTCTTCCCATCCCTCAGTAATATTGACTCTTGACTGCTCTCTTTATTCACCTATGTGGTTTTCACCTCTACAAACAGTAAAGTCACTTTAACCAAGCAAATTGTAATGATTTAATGGCACAATAAAAACCCCTCCCAAAACCCTGTGGCAAGAGACGCCCCCCCTTGCAGAAAGACAACCCTTATGTCCAAAGGAAGGTGTAGATTTGTTGACACTAATATCTGTATGTTTCTGTCCCTGCAGCCTTAGGAAAATCCAAAGGTACAGTATCCTCTGGTAGCTACAAGGCCAAGTTCAATTTCAAACTAAGCCAACTGTGTTGTAGTGAGCTCTGTGAGAAGGTGAATGTGCCACGTTTGGTTGCTTGGCCGACTTACTTGAAGCTGTGTGCCCATCATTAAAATAGACTCAAAGCCTGGAAGGACCATAGGCATGAGCAGCCCCTTCCCCCGCTATGTAGGCAAGCAGGTGTGGCCAGGTGCCCAGCAGTGGTGGATCAAGGGCCAAATCCCACATAACAAAAAGAAGACTATTTAGATGTCTCCTGCTGGTTGGTTCAGTGTTCTAGTCTAGTGCTCTCTGTCCTTGCCCCACCCACCTCCTTCTCCCACTTGGGGGAAGTGGACATCCCCCCCCACACACCCTCCCCCAGTTAGGCCACATTGTGCTCTGAGAACAGCTTGGATTCCACACCCAGGGAGCTTGTTGGGCCATTATCTCAAGGACAGCTGGCTTTGGCAGAGGGTTGACATATGGCTCGTCAACTCCCAAGCTGCTGACTATGCCCTGCTGCAGCCTTGCCACTGTGGGAGGGCTGCTCCTGCCAAGCGTGGGCCGCAGGGGCTGCATCTTCGCTGGCCCCCAGCAGCCTGGGCGCTTGGAGCGTTGCTGGCCATTCCCCTACCGCTGCGCATCGCTTCCCAGGCCCAGGAGGGTGCTAAGGCTGTGCTGCTCTTCTCCTAACACGGACCTGCTTGAATGTCTCCGTTTCGTGGGGGAGGGAGCGTGTCACCTGTCACGCGTGGGTAAGCAGGTATCTTTGTATCCCTCGCCAGCATGGGTGTGAGGGTCATGGATACATCTTGGGTGGCTCGAAGAGGCTCCTCAGCTGGTCGGAAAGCATCCTGCGCCCCGCCCTCCATGCAGCCTCCCGCCCCGCCCGCAGAGCTTGCTGCGCCTCTGCCATCGCCCCTACCGGAGCAGGTGCCCGACAGTCCCGCAGCTCCTGCGCTCTCTCCATCTGGCGTGGGCCTGCAGCCCATGCCTGAGCGCGCCAGGTAAGCGCCTGCTACTGCTGTCTAGGGGTGGGCTGGTTGGCCTGAGCGGAGGGTGTCTGGGCTTGCCGCAGCACACTTGACGCCTCTTGGATTTGATATCCCCGCCATCATTTCTCAGCATTCACGTTTGGCTTTCTGCATCCCGCTGGCACAAGATCAGCCGTCCACAGCTCCTTGGCTTTCCATCTAGTCCAGACTTTCCAAGAATGGCATCCCCAAGCAAACACAGAAGGTGGCAGCTTGCTAAAGCAGTGCGAGGAATTATGTTCCTTAGCTCTCCACTTCCCCTTCCTGTGCCTTTATAATTTTCTTCTTTTACAATTTAGAATTTCATCCTTTACCCCTCCCTCTCCTCTACCTTTAGGTTTGTAATGGCTGTTTTTGCTGCTAAAAGTGGATCCAAGTAAGGCAAGGAACAGTGGTGACATAGTCATGCCGGGCCTGGTACCTCTGCAGGATGCTGCATGGTTGTATTTCCATTCTTTAAGGAGAAGGGAGAGGGAGAGGGAGAGAGAATTCAAGTTCATTCCATCAGTAGTTCAGTGAACATGAGCAGAAGTTTCCTGTGTCCAGAGATAATAAGATATAATCACTGCCCTTAAGGGGTTCACATTCCAGAAATGGGCTCTGACAGATAACCTCAGCCTGGGTTATGCACACGCAGGAGCACAGGGGAAGGAGACCCAACCTTTGGGTCTTGTCCGAGAGGGGGACTCTGAAAGCGAGATCTACATCTTGAAACAACTGCTATCCAGTTCCATTATTAAATAACAATTTAGAGAACTAGAAGAGATACTTACAATCAGATGCCATTGTGACTTCTGTTAGGGAAGTGTGGCGTGTCCCCATGGCCACTGGGGAGGAAGTATGGATTTTTGGTTCTTAGGAACCAAACCTTTTGATTCAGTGTTTTCGAAATACACATTCATACACACTCCCATTTCAACCCCCTAATGAGGGGATTGCAAATCATTTTTTATTCTTTAATAAGTAGAAGGTATTTTTCACTGTGAAATGAGGAAATAAAGGGAACGGGATGATTCAGCGTTTGGCAGGGGGGGCTTGACACAGAGTGCGGGGGTTGTTGCTGATGCTGCAACTCGGGATGCTGGGTCCCACTGTGGAACTCTTGCTGGGCTTCAGATCTATAGGAGAGGTTCAGAAAACGGCACAGGGAATTTGGTGGAGAAGCAGAGACAGGCTGCTGACCAGGAGAGAGAGGCAAGTAGATAGGAGATTAGCTCTGATGATCCCCTCTTAGCACACTGTCCCCTGTCATCCTGATTTCCCATTTTACAAAGGAGACTCAGTGCCATATGATGTTTGGCATATAAATGATATTTCTTTAAAAATGCCCTTGAAGATGGATTCCCCCGGGCTCTGAATGCATTCCAGGAATGTTATGGATGGTTGGCCTTGCAGAGTCACTCATGGGTAGGGAATGTCACCCACTGGTTCAAGTTTATTTCAGAGGTCAGCTACGTTGCTCTGTATGCTACTGTTCCTGGGCGGTTGGTTCTGTGTGCTTTGTTCTCATTTTCCTATGGCACCCTCTTTTTCTCTCCTTCTGTAGATTCTGCCCAGTAGAAATGGGTATTCCATTGTTTTGTTTTCTGTTTTCTGGACATTTGCAGCACAGATGGTGCTTCCTGTAGTTGCTGGATTCCTGTGACATCTCTCCTTTCCCCTGAGGATAGCAAGCCCTCCCTCTCCCCTCCTGGCCCAGCCCTGCCTTCAGCTCCCTCCATTCTAGGCTGGCCGTTCTGTCCAGCCAGGCTCTTCCTGTGTCCTGCTCCTCTGCTTGGCATTCACGCTGACCTCAAACTCTGCTTCCTGCCCCTTGGCATCCAGTCATGTGTCCCCGGGTCTAACCTATCCTCAGATGTGCCTTTCCCATGCCTCCTTCATCTAGTGCTCCCAATAGCCACCCTCCACCCTACCTCTCCCATGGGGTCAGCTGCACCTATGCTGGGGAGAGAGGAGCCAGGTTAAGTAGGTAAATGCCTGTTTCTGTGCTGGGGAAAGTGGACCAGGTGGGAGGGAACAGAAAGACGAGGTGGATGATTTCTTGATAGATGTCTTATCTAGACCCAGGAGGAGCATCTGGACCCCCCTACCCCCATCCAGGAGTCTTTTGGTTGGACTGTTTGGTGGTTTTCTTTGGTTGATTGTTTTAACTTCTTCTTGATGGTGACAGAGATGGATGGAAGGGGAGGTAGTCGTTTGGATTAATGCCCATGTGCCAGGTGACCTTGAGACTAAAGAAGAATCAAAGATGAGTTTCTGTCCATTCTGAGTGACTCAATGGTTTTCTGTTTTTTTTTTTTTCTTTTCATTGATGAAATAGAGAAAGGAACTTTTGCTCTTTGGATTCCTTTGGATGTAAGTTGATAGTCTCCTTTTGGAGGATTCCCCAAGTGTCATGGAAAACTCATCCTACAAGGGAGAGAAAGCGTCAGACCACCCTGAGTGGGTCTTTTCTTTCTTCCTTCCCATGAAGAAAACTACTTACACTTCGATGACTTCCTGTTCTGGCCCAGGTCCCTGCTTCCAGTCTTCCTCAGTGGGCATGAGTAGAATATTCTTATTGGCGTTTCTTCCAAATGTATATTTGGAGTTTCTGAATGAGTTTAGGAAAATAATAGGCTGTGGATGCTTTTGTGGGGGAAGAAACAGCCGTTGCTATAGGTTTAGGTTCCCAGACCCTCCACACTACACCCTTTAAGGGCATCACAATTGAGGCAGGATGTTGGATATCTCCCAACTCCAGGGCAGCACCTCTCCTGATTCACTAGGTGCTACTTGGAGTATTTTGGTGAAAAGGAGTGAGACCCTGTAGGGGAACATAGGGAGTATAGTGAGATCTCCCACAGATGGCATGCTGGAGGCTGGCAGGGAATGAGGATCTGCCATGGATTTGCTTATGCAGTAGAGTAGGTTGTCTCCTCACATGTACTTTATCCTCAGGCCAGGGTCTGATGAAGAGCCTAGCTGTGAGGAGGAATCCTCTTAGGGACCTGGTGATCTTGGTGTCCCTTTGTCAGTCTGAGGGACTCTAGAGGGCAGGGTCCCTCTCCACCATTGACTCACCTTCCTCTAAGCCTGGAGGACCAGGACTTGAAATGGCCCACATGTGGGAGCACAGACTGGGTCAGCATTGACCCTGCCAACTGCTGGGATCTGCCACTGAGTTTGAGGATGGTTCACAGAATTCCTCCCCTGCCTGGGGAAGTGATGGAGGCCATCATGGGAGAGCTCTGGCCATGCCCAGGACAGCCTGAGGCCAAGTCATCAGTCCTTGCTGGCACACTCACCCTATTGAATCCTCTTGGCTCTGGTATGCCATGTCAATCAAAGAGAAAAGAACATTTTGGTGTTCCAGATTCAGAATGTCCTAGAATGCCCATGTTGATGACAGATTAGAGTGGGGACACTCAGAGACTTTGCCCTTACATTGCTCATGGCCTCCTTGAGGGCAGAGGATGTTGGCACTGGGGGTGGAACTCAGGCCATGAGAGCTCCAAGAAAGGTCACCTTATGGGCACCTTTGAAGGTTTTTAAGAAGGGACCAAGAAGATTAGAGCTGGGACAGAGTGGAATGGGACCCAGAAGAACTCTAGGATTACACTTAGCAAGGCGGGTGCTGAAGTCAACTGAACTCGGGACCTCTCTGCCCTGTGTGTTTGTGTTTCAGCACTGCTAAAAGCAAGGAATTGTCTCCAGGGTCTGGGCAGAAAGGAAGTCCAGGCTCCAGCCAAGGGACAACCTGTCCAGGGACGCAACCGGGGACTCAACCGGGTGCCAGCCCCAGCCAGCCACCTGCAGACCAGAGTCCCCACACCCTCCGGAAAGGTACGTCACCACTTCCCTTCTGAGTAGCCTCAGGCCACTGATGGCGCTTATCACTCCTAAAGGCTCATTTCCATCCTTAGCCTGGGTGTCTAGAAACTGAGTGGCTTAGTGAACAGTTCTGAGTCTGAGTGTTAGAGCTTAGAGAGGTGAGCCAACCCCTGGGCTGAGGGTGTAGCTCAGGGGTGGAGCACTCACCTGGAATGTGCAAGGCCCTGGGTTCCATCTCTAGTGTTGCAACAACAGCAGCAAAATAAGAAATCAACCAACCCCAAATGGAACCATTTTGCCATCATCCTCAGCAAGCTCATTTGAAAAGCGAGGGACATACATCGGGCAGCGTTTCCTCTACAGCATAGGATGCCACCAGTGCAGAAATCATTGTCTGAGTTGGCGTGTGTCTTCCCCAGACCTGCCAGGCCCTACCTGTAGTGCAGTAAAAGCTGTTCCCCCACACAGCCCTGGATGGCTGCACCTCTCCCCGAATCCTTCCTGTAAAGGGATAAAGGGTGTCGGGATCCTATCTCCACGAGGCCAGACCTCCCGTACCTCTGTTTTGTTACTATGTTGACCTATCACTGCCCGCCAGGATTCCGCCACTGGAACCTGTGATAAAAGGCCCAGTTATTTTCCCTTCTGAGAATCACTCCTAAAAGCTAACAATGTACTCTATGCCAACACTTCTTAAATGGGGAGCTGGGCTGCGTGTGTACTTTTCTGGACCTTTTGGGTTTGTCTCTACCTCTATCACCTCTCAGCAAATTTCACGTGTCTGAAATCATGTATCCTTTTTAAAATTTTTTTAAATTTTTAATTGATTCCTTTTAGTTACATATGACAGTAGAATCCATCTTGACATCATTAGGGAAGCATGGCATATGTCCTTTTCTAATTCAGTCCCCAGTTATATTATTGAATTTGTTTTGTGTTCAGGCCTTTCATGCCCTGAGGATGGCTACGGCTCCAGATTGGTTATACAGACCAGGCTCGTCACCCACATTTATCTACAAACTATCCCCTTCTAGACTTCCTGGCACCAGGCTACCATGGAAGTTCCATTCTCCCAGTCTGCCTTCACCCCAGCACTTCAATGTTCTTCATTTCCTGTTCATTCCTTTCTCATCCTACAAATATTTATTGAACCCTACTATGTGCAGGAGTCTGCTTTCCAGAGAGGTTCAGTGATAATGCAAAGGTGGTGTTGCCAGCTGGGGGACATCCAGGCACTGAGGGGACACATGGGACACTCTGTCCAACATCTTGATGGTCGAATGATGAGTGGACCAAAGTGGGGGCAGTAGGAAGTTAGCCTTCCAGGGCTTTTCTCCAACACCAGTAGATTTTCCTTGTAGTACGGACATGAGTTCTTCAGTACATCTCTGTTTACAGATCCTCCCCCAACCCTTCAAGCCAAGGATGATGGCTAAGCCATTGTTTCATCCAGTGGAAGTGTCAGGGCTCCTGTTGCAGCTGGTCAGCTTCCTAATCCCAGTGGCCAGCTGACCCTTTGAGGTTTTTGCAGCACATTGGACCCATGCAGGGAATACTGCCTAGAATGACCCAGGTCCCTTTCTCAAGTGAGTGAGTAACTCAGAGTTGTTATTTGAAAGGATGATGTTCTTCTCCATTCCCCATCATTGCCCATCTGAGATACTTAACTTTTGCTTTTTTTTTGACCCCTCTGTCTTTTGACCACATGCATCCAGTGGAGTATCATGTCCTAGTCCTGTCACTACCCAGAAGTGGTCTCATCACAGACATGATGATGTTACTGCGTCCTCTCTCTTGCAGCTCATCTGGGAGGAGGCATGCTCATGCTCCTATACCCAGGGTCTCCCATACTTCATGTCCAGTCCAGTGGAATCATTCCTACAGGGCCCATCCCTGATCACGCACTGTCATGAGCTACAGTAGCTACAGTCATGGCTGCTGGCAAACTTACTTTGAACTTAGGCAGTACAGGTGGAAAGTGAAACTGCAAAATTAAGTAGTTTCATTGCAAGTTGTGATTATATGGCGCTTTTCATATGCGATCCCACTTAATTGTTACAGTGCCATGGAGAAAATATTATTCTCCCTATTGTATAGAAGCAGAGTTTTTTGTTTGTTTATTGTTATTGCTTTTTAGAAGTTTAAATAAATTATACTGAGTATACAGTGGGTAACCAGCAGGATAGAAATTTGACCCTCAAGTTGGTGGACTCTAAGAAGCATGGTCTTTTGTCATCCACACAGAGGGCTGGATGAGCCAGGGTAAAACTTGAGAAATTCCTGGTAGGTTTTGTTCCATGGAGGGGTGGGGAGTGTCTTGCGGGGGGAGCAGGAATGCAGGAGGAGGACTTAATGCTTCCCTGAGGATTTAAAAGATGGCTTCTTCTCGAATTAGGCTGCATGTGGATGCAGCCCTCACTTAATTCTGAGAGATGAATGATCCAACATTGTCTCAGGAACATTTGCCTATCAGTCAAATCTCCTGAATGTCTGGCTTTTTGTCTTTACCCATTCACTTTCAACTCAAGGTATTATGTATTTATCATCCTGTAGAGGGATTAACTAGATAGAGAGGAAAAAGAAGGCAATGCAAAGGAGATTTGCGCCACAGTGTGCTTTAGAAGGTACAGTCAGGTTGGGGATGTAGCTCAGTGGAAGGGCATGCATGAGGTCCTGTGTTCAATTCACAGAACCACAGAAAAGAAAAGAACATTTCAGTCCATCTGCCCATGCTCATACCCCAAGGGTACAATTCTCAAAAGAAAAAGGTGGGGGGGGGGGCATGTGGGAGGAGGAGGAGAACAGAGTGAAGGTGGATAATGGGTACCAAAACTCATTTGCAGGGGGTGGCACAGTAGGGTAACTATAGTCTGTAGCAATTAATTATACATTTCAAAATAACCAGAGGAGAAGAGTTGGAAAGTTCCCAACACATGGAAATGATAATATATGAGGAGATGGAAATGCTAATTACTCTGATTTGATCATTATGCACTGTGGTGCATGTATTGAATTACAATACTATATCCCACAAATAAGGACAAACATCATATGTCAATTAAAAAAAAAAAAAGAAAAGGATTGGGGATGTAGCTGAGGGGCAGGACACTTGCCAGTGTGTTTAAGTCCCTAGATTTCATCTCTAGCACTGCAAAGAAAGAAAAAGAGCCATGATCCAAGCACAGAATCCAGGTGGGGAACATAAAGTGGTGGAGGCCGGAGGTTCTGTGACCAGGAGATTTGTTCACACATCACTGTTGGGAGACAAATACCACTGTACAGGTTTAGCCTGGTCAGTTTCCTATCCTGAGGACTTGCCCCAAATCAGGGTTCCACTGTGACAACTTGAACTCAGATCATTCTCGTTGGATCTGGTCTCACTGACTGTCTCAGTGACACCTCTTCCCACTGGGAAATCAGCCCACCGCCCGTGGATGGGAGATTTGTTCCGTAGTTTGGCAGGGTGTGCATGTAGATGGTGGCAGAGATCCAGGAAAGAGAAGGAGAAATTAGTTAACAGATGGAAAGACAGGAAAACTTGCAGTTCCTAGTTCATTTTTAAAAATTGTATTGGCTGCTCTCGGTGTGGCAGGAGGCCTAGGGCAGGGAAGTGGGGTGACAGGAAGTGACCACTCTGAACCATGAAGCCTGTGCTGATGAGTCACACTGATGGGCTTCATTTAATAGCTTTGCATTTTGTTGTTTTTTTTCTTTCAGTTTCAAAGAAGCTGGCACCAATTCCACCTAAGGTCCCCTTTGGCCAGCCAGGGTCTGTGACTGACCAGTCCGCTGGCCAGCCGTCCCCCGTCAGCCTGTCTCCTACTCCACCAAGCACCCCGTCGCCCTACGGACTTAGCTACCCACCGGGGTACTCCTTGGCCTCAGGCCAGCTCTCCCCGGCTGCAGCTCCTCCCCTGGCCTCTCCTTCTGTCTTTACAAGCACTTTAGCCAAATCGCGACCCACCCCTAAGCCCCGACAGAGACCCACTCTGCCACCTCCTCAGCCTCCCACGGTCAGCCTCTCTGCCTCGAGCCCACAGTCCACGGAGCACCCCATGCTGGATGGCATGTCCCCTGGGGAAAGCATGTCTACAGGTAACCAGGCCACAGGCCCTTTCGAATATTCCTGTGAACCTTAGCAAACTGTGCCGGGGGGAGGGATGGTAGCGTCACTTTCAGGTAACTAGTTCCCATTTACTGTGAGATGGCTGTGCCATGGGCTGAGGAAAGATGATCTTAGAAGCCCACCTATGGGACGTTGGATTCAAGTTGTTCTGCAGGGGGCTTCTGTTTCTGCTCTTATTTTGGGGGAGTTGAGCCTAAGTCCTTTGGAGTGGGGACCCAGGAGAAGCTGGGAACTGGTTATGATCACAGAACAACTGGCATCAAAATACAGGTGAGGCATTGAGTTTCCCTTGGACAGAATCCAAGGAGTTGAACAGGTCCAAGTGCTTAGGGAAAAGATAGGCTAAGAACCAGAGATATTTGTCCTTAGTAGTAAAATAAGCCTTGTGAGAAAAATGTGTTTCTCAGTATATATTTAGAGAAGGGTCATTTTCAGAGAAGGCATGTGTCTGCCTTTCTCCCCACCCCCTGCCCGCTGCAATTCCTCCAGCAGCTAATTGTATAAACCCACAGCTACTTAGATTTACTTTGAATTTGAAAACAACCATGGAGCTGTCTTCCCCAGAAAAAAAATGTGTAAATACACACACACACACACACCATAAAATCTTTCATTGTGGAAGAAACAGGACATTTTTTAAGTGTTTCCCCAGACACTTGGACCATATAAGATTATAAAGTCAGGGTCAGATTTTGTGATGGCTTCCACAAAAAGTCATCTGAACATTTTCCTTATTCAGGAAGACAGGCCAACTGTTGGGCTTCATCTTGGAATAAAGTCAGCCCATTCATCTCAGGGAAGAGCCTGCCCATATCTGTGGAGTGTCATCACAAATGGCAGAAAGTGACACGGCTGGGGTGTAATAAACACATGCACTCCACACGTATATACATGCTTTCAGATGCCATAGGTACATGTACCACATATGCATACAGACCACCCCCACATATGTACACCACACACATACATATCACACTTATACCATACATACGCATGCCACATGCATATGCATAGTGCCTCACACATGTATGCATGCCACATATAACATATACACACAGACACATGCCAGATACACATACGGCACACGTGTGCAAACACACCACATGAACATGTACACCACCCACACATACACTACACATACATAAACCATGTGCATATGCATATGCGCCGCACACGTGTAAAAACATACCACATGCACACCACACACACATAAGCCATATATACCACACATACACACGTCATCCATATATTACATATATACCCATGCACATACCACATACATATACACACCATACATATGCTTATCACACATATCACACACATATACTGCACACATATATACATACACCACGTACCTACACACATACATGTATACATGCATACAAATATATGTATATATACACATACATCCATATATATACCCCAGATCTATACACTATACATTCACACATACACTCCTGCACGTATACACTATACATACACCACACATTACATATTCTACACATACATACCATACATATACACATCACATGTGTACATACATACCAAATGTATATGTACCATACATATATCACTCTTATGCAAACACCATATGCACATACTACATACACCCACACACACTACATGTATATGCATGCATCACACATGCCAACACCACATATAAAATCACGTATCCAGGGGCTGAGGGTGTGGCTCAGTGGTAGAATGCATGCAAAAGACTCTGGGCTTGGTACACAGCACTGAAACAACAAAAAGCCCACAGACCCATACACATGGCATACTTGAAAGAAAATACTGTGCTGGGTCTAGGGTGCACCACGTCTCTCATGGATACTGCCTTCCCCCAGCATCCCCCTAGAGAGTACCATTCTCTGCCCTAGATTAGACAGAGGCACATGCCTGTGAGGTCCAGCTCCTTGCTGCCAGTGAAAACACTAGGCAAACCCGCGAGTCTCTGCCTGGGTCAGGAGATTTCATCGTTATGGGGAAGAGCCATCCGGGGACGTAGCTTCTCTGTTTTGGATGTGATTAATGTTGAATGTACAGCTGCTGTCATCCACCCTGAGGCTTATTTTTAAATAAGGAGGTTCCTCCCTGTGAAATGACAGTGACTACCATGCCCTCCTGTTGTTTTTGGGGTGGTGTATGTTTTTGAGTGAGCCATGATGTAGAGGACAGCCACTGGCCTGGGGGGACAACACTTGCCCCAGGAGTTCCCAGTCACATGCGGCAGCCCTCAGGGACTGCTCCTCCAGCACACCAAGTCTGCTGACTCTCCAGCCACCCCAAGGCCAGAGCACAGGGGTGTCCCATACTATAAGCCACAGGATGAGGAGAGGATGTCACTCAAGGAGGCAGATGAGAGCGAAATGAGAGGAGCAATTTGGGGGCAAAAGTGGGCACAGGCAAGGAGGGACAGTGTCCTTGTGGCTTGAGATGTGGAGTGGTTCACTTCCCACTACACAGGCTTAAGATCTGATCGTCAGAATCAATGACACCCCCTGGTGCTGCATTCCATTTTGTTTTAATGTTCTCTTGAGAGCAGACCATGACTGTCTGGTATGTACGGGTCTCTGAGCCAGCGTAGAACCTGCAATGTTTTGGTGTGGCCCGCGTGGGACTGTGACACTCTGCACAGTGTTTTTGTTACATTCATGTTTCATCGTGTTTATTCCTCTCTCCGAATCCTATCATTGTGTTCTTGCAGCTGTGTGACATGGGTGACGCAGTGTTGGATACGTGTGAGGGGGATTTTCAGGGTAAGCTGGCTCCGGCCTCACCTCCCTCCACCCTCCAAGCCAGCCAGGCCGGCTGCCCCTGCCCCCTGCCGCCAGCGCCCCCCAAAAAGCTGTCCCTCCTCTCTGCATGCAACTCAGACCGACTGACCGCATGGCCGCTGCACTCTTACCAGCCTCCCGCAACCTCAGCAAAGATGAGCTGACCCAGGAGCTTATTTGGCTTTTTGAGATCATTGGCCTTTTTTTTTTCTTTCTTTCTTTTCATAGGAGCTGAGGGAAACACTCAACAAATGGGTTTAGCTCTTCTTTCCCCGTCTTCTGTCTCACTGTATCACCTCCTTGCAGCTGCCCTCCTCTCCCCCTCAGGTTTAGAATTTGCAGGGGTAACAGATCTCTTCTTCACTGGGTGGATTTGCTGGAGGCTGTTGTGCTCAGCACCCTAGGAACATGCTCTGCACACTTTCATTTAGGAAGGTGTCCTGATGGGAGGACTTACCTGGTGTGGCTTGGCACAGGGTCCAACACGTGGTCTGTGGCCATGAGCTCGTACTAGCAGATGTCCACCGTCAGATTCTGCTCCCACCACCCTGGTACTGAGGATTGAACTCGGGTTTTTTGTTTTTTTTTTAACTGAGCTGTATCCCCAACCATTCTTATTTTTTTGAGACAGGGTGTCGCTCTGTTGCCTGGGCTGACTTGGAACTGGTGGTCCTCCTGCCTTAGTCTCCTGAGTCACTGTGTCTATGCCCAGCTCAGACACAAACTCTCATGCCTGTCTTCCTCCAGGCCGAAAGCTGGCAAATCCTGAAGAATCCAGAGTCTTAGAGCTCATTCCACCCACCTCCATAATAGTCGGCCAGATCCTTTCCGTCCCACTCAATAAAACAATTTGGGAGCATTTTGATCAGCATCTGCTTGGTTTCCTTCTCCTCCTTCTGCTGTGGAAGAATGTGGCTTAGTGGTAGAGTGCTTGCCTAGCATTCCCAAGGCCACTTGGGTCACATCCCCAGCACTGCAAAAAAAAAAAAAAAAAAAGGAAATAAAAAGAATAGATGTCCAAAGCTAAAACCTAGAATGTGAAAAAAGCCACAAGAATGAGGTGTTTTTGCCTTAGTAAGACACTGAGTAAGTCCAGAGTAAGCCTGGGTTTCCTCAGCACATGGTCCTGCATCCTAGCTACAAGGGATCTGGTGCTCACAGACAGGTGTGTCCCAACAGACATTTCTAAAGTGTTTATGAAATAAATCACAGCCATGATTTCCCTCAGAATCCTAATGAGGGCTTCTCCCCCTAAATCCCGTCCCCTAGCTGAGTGGCCTCTCTCCCGTAGGGTGGGGATCCTTTAAGGGAACAGTGGGGGTCATAAACACCTGCGCTGGGTCAGGCAGTCTCTCATGTCATGTCTGCATTCCTCTCCTCCCCTACTTCCATTTGACTGCCGAGACTTAGGAAAGGTAAGATGTTCTCCAGGACCTCACTTGTCTTTGAGATGAGCTGGGAGTTGGAGCCCAAGCAGAGGAGCCTAAGTTCTTCCTGATAGGGAGCCCCACCCAGCAGGTAGTCCTAGGCTGGCATAACCTCCCACTTTCAGAGGAGAAATGACCACAGATGTCCTGCAAGGCCCACGAGCCATCTGCTGCAGGAGGATGAGTGGCACTGGCTGAGCAGAGCTGCAAACCCCCAGATCTCTGCTCCATCAGGCAGCAAATGGATGACAGGCTGGGATGACATTTTGAGGACTATCTGGGGGACGGGGTGAGAGGGGAGCTTTGTCCCAGAGCCTCCATGTCTGTATAATGTCTTTTAGGACAGTGTCCAAGTGTATGTCTGTACTCTCAGCATGGTAGTCCTCAGTCTGAACATCTGTTTTACAACAAAACAAAAATTAAACTCCACTTCCCAGATGTGGCCCACCACTGATCCCTTGCTAGGTTCATATTCTGTGTCACTTGCAGTACAGTTCCCAGTCTGGATAGAGAAGCCAGGCTAAGTGAAGGCCAGAAACTAAGAAAACAATGTGACCAAGAATAAGGGACCCAGAGGACCCATCCCACCCCATTCATCTCCCACAGCCCCAGGGAGGCAGCAGGCTTAGCCTTCTGCCAGCGAGCTTCATGTATCAAGCTGCAGGCTCTAAAGACTTGTCTTGGTTTTGCCGACACAGTTGTCCACATGCTGAGCCCTGTTCCTTCTGTTATACTCTTCCTGCTCCATTGTCCAGGAAGAATGATCTTTCAGTGCTCCTAATAAGGATGTAACCAGAAAGGGGGCAGTTTCTTGGAATACACCAGGAGTTTACTCCAGCTGCTACCAGGTCCTGAGGAAGACCCTCTGCTTTGCCTCCATGAGCCTTCCCAAAGCAGCTGTTTCTCAGAGTGAGATCGCTGACCCAGGTCTCCCCCGTTGTCTCACACCCTGTCCATGCAGACTTGAGGGAACTAAATGCAGTCTGAGCTACATCCCCAAAGGATCCTATTGAGACCTGCCCAAGAGCGTCCTGCTTATCAGGATCCAAGTGCAGTGAGGCTGAGCTGTTCAGGACAGGCAATGTCAGGTCCTGGAATATCCGTGGAATATTCTGGAATATCCTCCCTGAACCACTGTGGCAGAACCTGGATCCTAACCACCCTCAAGGTAGAAATGATGGGACCTGGCCACAGCTAAATCATGCAGTCACGTGCTTAAACAAACCTCCAAGTGATCTGGCCCTAGAAGGAACAAACCACCCTGCTTCCCAATGCTGACATTATTTGTCTGCAGTTAGCCTCTGGTTAGCCAGAAGCTCCTTTTCAACTCTCTTTCTCTCTGCCAACTTGCAGATCTTGTCCACTTTGATATCCCCTCCATCCACATAGAGCTGGGATCGACACTCCGCCTGAGCCCCCTGGAGCACGCAAGGCGACACTCAGTGACAGACAAGAGGGACTCGGAGGAGGAATCTGAGAGCACCGCCCTCTGACACAGCACCCTGCCCCCAACACGCGTGTACATAACATAACATGGGCCCCGGAGACACGCCGCCAGGAGCAGCGTCCCTGAGCTCAACAGTATCCTCCGTTGGCTCTTTCCTGTCACCTCCAACGTGAGGTTGGAGTTTGGCAGAAAACTGCAATCTCTGGTCCATGTGGGGAATGTCGGTGGTGCAGATTGTTTGTTCCTTATGGGTGGTGACTTCGGCCATTTGTTTGACCTTTGCCTTTTGACTTTGTGCCTATTTTGATCCATTTTCAGCCTCCATGACAAGTAGTACCCATCTCTCCACCCAAGGGTCTGCTTGTCAGAATTGTCCTTTGGGGTGGGGGTATGAGAGAGGGTTGTTACCTGGTTACACACAAGGGCCACTGCCTTGACTGTGGACTGGGACAGGCAATGTCAGGTCCCGGAATATCAGTGTATTAGCCAGAAGAGAAGCAGGACAGGAGGGGGACTTTTCACTCAGACCTAGACTAGGGCTGGAATTCCTGAAGTCCTGGTCACTCACCTTTTCTTGACGCCCAGGGAAGGGCCGGCCCGTGGAACACCTTTAGGCTACCCTTCATCAGAGGGCTCCAAAATAATGGCTTATAACATTTGCTACCTAAATTTCTGTCCCCCCTCATGACTGAAAGTTCTTTACTCCTATCATTTTATACTTCTGAATTTAAAAGAGGATCTTGACCATGTCTGGAGAGTCTGTGGTAGCTCCCCATCCCCTGAAACCCATTAAGTCTGTCAGTCATTTATTTGGCCCCTCTAGGAGTCCAGCTCACTAGAATGTGGGGTCCTGGAGCTGGTCTCTAAATCTGGAGGTTACAGCTGAATAGCAATAATCCTGTTACCCAGAGCAGGTCGAGGAGAGTAAAACCAGCCTGCGGAGACGCTGGTCCACGTGGTGGTGGGCCTGCTTTGCTCACCAGCATCCCCTGCGCATCCCTTCTCATGAAGTCCCATCCAGTTCTGGGGAGGAGGGTCGGGAGGCACTGGGAAGCCTGTTTGCACTTTGGGATTAAGAGAGTGAGAAACAGATCTGGGCCATGCATGCAGTCGAAGTTTCAAATTTTATCCTTTTAAAATAGATATAATATACCTATACATGATATAATATTTGTATATATGAAATCTATATTTGTTTAATTTGAGCCATTCAATCAAAACTGATGTACAGCTGTACAATGAAAAAATTTAAATGCTTAGTTATTTTTCCCAACAGTGTAAAGTCACCCTTCTCTGAGAGTGGGATTTGCGGACTTTTGATGTTACAGCTTTGCTCACTTCCTGGCAAGGGCAGTTTGTAATGGAGCCCGGGAGTTGAAAGTTCTCTTTAAATACATGTACAAATTGTTGTCAAAAGTAATGTTATTAAAATAGATTTATTATCCCTGAGCTGGCGTATGTTCTTGTTTTAATAACAAAGCTGTGGGGCAGTTATCAATCTCTTGGGCTGTGTCAGGAGGTCTGAAGTTCACCACCAGGGAAGGCCAAGTCCTTGCTCTTTCTCTCTCACCTGTTTTAAAGCTCCTCCAATATTCTCCTGGGAAGGGAGAGGATATAAATACTAGATTCAACTTTGAAAATTCTCTTTTGAGTTTCAAGTGCTAACCTGTGTTTTGAAATCCCACAAGGAGGCCAAGGAAGCCAACCCGATGTGACATTTTGTACATTTTAAGGGCAAAGAGTAATTCTCATTATGAGCAAGAGAAAACAAATTGATCATCTCTACTTTTAGCCAGAACAATGAGAAGATCTGGACGTCCTGTTCCCCTGCCATGGTCAGGCGCTCAATAGATGTTTGAAGCCACTGGAAGGAGCTTGTATGGCTGGGCTTTGGTCAAGACTCAGCAGAGTGGTGGCTCCCCTGGGGGTGGAAAGGTTCTCCTGCCACATGAGCTTTCCTGGGCACACTGGGAAGCTGGCATAATAACCCTGCTCTGAAGCAAAACCAAAACAAAGCAAAGAACTCAGAATTCCAAACTCCATCTTTATTGCATCTGATTCTTTGGGAACACTATCCCTTGAGTCTGGAATACCTAAACCCAATGTCACCTGTCACTTGGCTTGCCTCTGATTTGCAGAGGGAGCCACCTGGTTGGAGCAGGCGAGCGGTGCTGCCCGTGTCCACATGACTTCCTTAAATACCGACTTGCGTTAGAATTCTAGTTGCACCAGCTTTCTTGTTTAGCAGCCTCCTGTCCCACAGCCGTGCCAGGCACCAGTCACAGGAGGCGTCTTGCAGACTGGTGTTTATGCTGGAGCCCAGGCCACAGCATGCCGCCACACACCCATCCAGAACTGCATCCTGGTTGACCACCAGGATAAGGAGAGTGGGTGCCGCACAGGGTAGAAGACACACATAGCCTTCAGTGTGCAGGGTGGTCCAGACCTCCACTAGGCTCTGACCTTCTTACTCTGTGGGCTCTGCAGCTCCTCCGTGTGGGCACGTTTCTGCTGGGACTCCCTGTCCTGGGAGAGGAGGGCTGCTCGCACCAGCCGAAGCTCCCGCTTCTCTCTGCGCTCCACCATCTCCTCAATGTCATCAGCAAACAGGGCTTTTAGCGGGGGAATCAGCTTTGGGATGGTTGGAAAGTCACCAAAATGAACCTGGGAGGCCAGACACACGATAGGAACATGCCTCAGAGGGACAAGAGCAGGGCCACCTCCCCACCCTTACACACCCTTAAGCCAAGTGACTAAAATTCCAACTGAAAAGAAGGCTTTGCAGGGAGGGAGGAAGCCCTCTAGAGAAAGCAGCAGACTCCCCACTCCTGGCTGAGGGTGGCAAAACCACAGGCCTCAGGAAAGGTGATGCAAGCTAATGTCAAGGCGGCTTGGCTCTACCACTCGTGACATGTGAGCACCTGTCTCAGGTCTGTCCTGAGGCTCCAGTGCTTTGACTGTGGGGCAGTCCAGGCAATGTCCTTAGGACTAATGTCCAGCAGACCCTACAGGAGGTGGGTCTCTGCATCGTACCCTGAATATGATGCTGGTTAGTGACAGACCCTCTTATCTTCATTGCCCCAAGCAGGGAAGAAAATGAAAGGAGGAGTCTGCACCTCCCCGGTCTCCCCAAACACACAGCCCACGTGACACACAGACCTTCATGTGGTCAAAGGCGATTCCCACTTTCTCATTGAAGTCAGGGCTGAAGAGGGGGATCTTGGCATAACGCTGGCTGAAATGGTTCAGCATGATGAACTCCGCGTTCATCCGCATCCCTACACCAATGGCTTGGGAGGTAGTGCTGCAGGACAAGGACAAGTAGCCAGGGAAGCTAAGCCACAGGGCAGGGCTCCAAGGCGGAGAACTAGCTCAGGCCCTGGCCCTGCTGCTGCTGGGGCCCCCAGGGAGAGAAGGCCAAGGATGTTCTCAACTGGCACCTCTTTAGCCTGATCCTTCCCCTTTCCTTAAAGGAGGCCCACACTCTGTGCTGTCAGCTTTCATCAAGGAGGACACCTGGGAAACATCTGGGAGCTTACACAGAGGTCAAGGCACGTCTTCCTTCAGACAGCCCAATATTCAGCCCCCCTCCCCACCCTAGCCCCTGCCTTCCCCTGGTCATTCCCTGATGTGACTTAATAGATTCTTCCAGCTTATTTCTCTCGTTAAAAACACCATGCCTCACCATTAGAACCTAGGGAACTGCAAAAATAGAGGCAGAAGGCCCGAAGAGACTGCTGTGGCTCAGGAAGCCTCCTCAGCCTTGGAACCTAGCCAGCCCTGTGTCACTGAGAGCACTGTCTTTCCCCGGGGGCAAACGTGGGCTGTTGGGGCTTCACTTGATGGGAGGAAGGAGGTGACAGGGAGGACTAACTGTTCTCTGCTACCTGTGTGTCTTTTCCACTGCTTCTTCTTCCAAGCCATCCTCCAGAGTGGCCTCATGTATCAGGAGGGTGGCGTCTTTCCCTGGAGAAATAGGCTGTGTTGAGGTGCAGCCCTCTAGGTGAGCAGCATGTGGCCCCGGGATCTACAGCTGTGTCCTGACCCAAACACGCAGCAGCCTTGGCCCTGTGACTCATCTGCACATTAGGATGGCAGCCACGCAGTGTGAGGGGGAACCCAAGTCTTCTGTCTCTGTGGACACGCCCTACGCTTATCTACACCCACCCCACGCCTCACCAAGGCTCATTTCCTCTCTACTCACCCATCTGGACCAGAGCCTCACAAGGCATGGTATCCCCCGAATAGACCACTTTCCAGCCAGACGTGTGCACCAGGGCACAGCCGAAAGCGTGCTTGCAGTGGCGGACCAGGCAGGTCTGAAACTGAAGGAGCAGGGCTAGAGGCTGGGCCTGACCCCTCCCCGCCCTCTTCCGGGCCCATGGCTGTGCCCCTTACCTCTTCCAGATCACAAGCCTTCAACAGCAATCTGATCAGTTTTTCAACTGTGGGATTATTAACCTCAGCCCCTTTCTGAAGGCATTTTGCAGGAATCATACTAAAAGAAGTCAAAATATTTAAAATTACGGTAGCATTAAAAACAATCACTAAAGATGTGGAATAAAAATGCAGGTCCTTGGCTAGAGAGCTTTAAAATGAAACAGTATGAATTGTAGTCATCAAGCTGGGGAGACTGATCAAGTCAGAGCCAACCATTTCCTGTTCACTCTAAGGCACCTAGCAGATAAAGGCTCCCCTGCATCTAGGCAATGCAGGCCATGGATGACACCAGGCAGATGATGCCTCCCCTGTCCCCTGGGGACAGGGCCAACTCCCATCCACCCATCCACCCAGGGTGGATGGTTTCTGTGCTTCCACTATCTGGGTGTCTGGAATTGTCTAATGGAGAAATGCTGGCCAAAATCTAGGCAACAGAAAGGAAGTGAGGGCTGAGGAGAAAAGCTTTACAGAAGCAGACGTTGTTAGGGCAGGGCTGCCAAGGTCTGCCAGCTGCCCTGGGGTAAAGGCCACAGCCTGGGTCAGCTGCCCTGGATGCTCACCTGACGTGGTGGAGCACCTCCTGGCACTGGTTGTGGTACTGCTGCAGCCAGGCCCTGAGCTGGGTGGGGGCTACTACCAGCAAAGGGTGGAACGGCTTTCCCAGAGACACCTGTGACAAGGAAAGGAGATCCCAGGGCAGAGTCAACAACAGAACAAGTCAATCATGATGGTATGTCAGGAAGTGTGGCTGCCGATGTATGAACCAAGGAAACTCAAAATGCTCACTTACCAGAGCACGCTCTCTCTGCAGCAGGATATTCAACAAGCCCTGGGAAGAAAAAAGGACAAGTCACTAGTGAGATCCAAACCCCATGGTCGTCTTCTGCAAGTGAAGGTTCTACGGTCGTCATCTTACAGTATTTCTGACCTCTATAATCAACCCTTCAGAGCTGCCACAGTTGGGGTGACAATGACACATGACTTTGAAATACAATGGGCTGAAAACAAGATGATCTGTGTTAGAAAGAGGGTAATGGCTGGGACCCAGAAACCCCTAGAAGACCCAAGCAAGGGCCTCACAGCCCTGTCTCCCGCAGGGGCAGGCAGTTTGAGAAGGCGATTCAGGAAGTGTGTGAAGCAAAACCTTTACTGCCGCTTGAAAGATCAAAGAAGAAAAGACGTCCTCACTGAACAGGCCTGTGCTGGGGCTTCACAGAAGACTTCACCCCAGCCAGAGAAGAATCACAGGGCTCTGGGGGCACTTGGAAACCGCAGGAAAGCAAGCACGAGTGCAATCAAGCAGAGGCCGCTCCTTCCAGTGGGCTAGCACGCCCGAGTCCCAACTAGCACTCACCGTATGGTGGTCTGCATGCAGGTGGGACACAAACACAGCAGCAAGGGTGCCCAGGACCCTATCCACTTGGTCTCCATAATGACGGCACAGCTGCCCAAACGTGCCTTCACCACAATCCAGTAGCAAGGCCTTGTCCGGGCTATAGAAGAAGAGCAAGTGTCACCAATAGGAGAGCCTTCGGACAATTTAGAGTGATGCTTTCTTTAGCAGAGAACAGGCAGCAGTTATGCAGGTATCTGCCTTCTATAAACTCTTGTACCGTTTTGTGGGGAGCTTATATAAAGCCAATTAATTTCACCCATAACAATAACTTAAAATATAAGCCAATTAATTTCACCCATAACAATAACTTAAAATGACCAATCCTCTCTCTATAAAAGAATGATCCATAGAACCCTGAAGCCTTTTAAGACCATAGATCTATACAAATGCTGGCATCCAGAATCAAAAATATTTAGATGGAATGAGACAACACCTTTGTGGAGAATACAAAGGCCAAGTATTATGTATTCGAGACTGTTCTAGTGCCAGCTGCCACAGGATTCCTTCTCTTCCAAGCACCTCTGGTTTCCTCAAAGCTGCCTGGTACATGACGGGCTCCACGTGCTCCATGTAGGAGTTGGTTAGCACAGACTCTGGCTTCTACTCAGACAAT